GTCGCAAAATTATTATACAGGGTGTCCCAGAAATAAGTGCTAGAATTTTAAGGGGTGGTAGATCTCGATAAAAGAAACATATTTTCTCTTTATCGTTTTTCAATTATGTCCAAAATAACGGAGTTATTTTACTTTGAAAATTTCAAAAAAAAATATTTTTTGCTAAAATTTTGAGAACCACTGGATCTTTTCTGGACTTTCTTTCTTGTAAATTTAATATACTACCTATGTTGCCATATTATCAAGAAATTATGTTTTTTAACTAAAAACTAAAAAAAATCAAATTTTTTTTTTAAAATTCCGAATTTTCAAATTTTTTTTTCGCGAAAAAAACCTCATAGGCGTGTTTCTGGGGTTGAACTATACTCCCAGTTAAAACACTTGCACTTATTTCTGGGACACCCTGTATTGGTTTCCTATTACACGTTTGGTTAGCTGGCTCTAACTGGAGAGTAACATCTTGTATTCTTTACCTTTTTCTTATCAGCAATAACTCTCAATATCATAGCAGTAGAGTCTGTCCAATGAAGTCATCGAAGAATTCGACAGACATTGTCACTGTCGTTATTAATATATGCGATTTTTCACGGCTTGTTTTACCAAATTTACCAAATAATTATGTCAATATAATATTTGAAAAGAACTACCTTGATTAAACTGCCTTAGCTACTCCCAATTTACGTAATAAGTTACCTAAATTTATTAGGCGGGTTTTTGAATAAAGAAATGTCCCAGTAATTTTTGACCATAATGGTACTTGTTCACATAAAAAATGGCATTGCATTAAGTCAAAGAATCCTTAGACAACAAAAGTGTTTAGATCGGAAATCGATTATGTAAACTACAGTATCAACGGTAGTGTACTATTATTACTTTAATGCTAATATTTTCGTGTTAAATTGACAGAAAATGCCATTAATTTGTCTGTCTTTAGTCTTAGAGAATTGTGTGGAATTTGAAATTTGTTTTTGTTAATATCTAAGGTCAGGAATGCCTTTTTAATAGATAAGTATCTCATCTCACCCTGAGTAAGTTGTTTCAAGTAAAATTTTGTTTTTTTATTAAGAGAAAATTTTATTGATATAATTAATAATATTCATTATTGTAAAATATTCACTAAAAACAATAATATATAGTCTGTGAAACGAATAACTTTGAATTTGACAGTTCCCGCGGGCTTTTTTAGTGTTAATTTTATTAGGTTAGCAACTTGCGGCCATGCTGACGCAATGCCGTCTCTAATAGAACAGCCTCGGAACGAGATTTATGACGTCACGCTAGTTACATACTACAGATTAATATTTTGTAGAATACATGGAAAACATAATTATTCCTCGTATTTATGGTTTGTATTTTAAAAATGATATAGTTTACATGAAACATACATAATATACTGTTAATATAAATAAGTTAACATAAAAAAAAAATATATATATACAGTTAATAAATAAAAACGCTGATTAAGTTTTCATTTGGTTTTTCATTATTTTTTTTGGTTTAAAAAAAACGTTTCGGCTAACATTATAGCCTTAATCAGTGCTGTGTCATATGATTTTTTTTCCTTTTAAACCAACAAAAATAATGAAAAACCACATGAAAATTTAATCAGCGTTTTCCCCGAACCTAAATCCCAAGAAAATCAAAAATTTTAGAATAATTTGACATATAAAATGACAGCGATCTTTATTTCATAGCCATCTCTGACGCCTTTTTTTCTATGATATTGTATTATTTGCAAATATATAATTTTTCGAACATTAATACTTGCAAAATATTAAATTCAATAAATTTTGTGAATGCAAATAATAATATATCACTATTAGTAGATATTGAATGTTTTTTTGTTAAATTAAATCGATTTTGAAACCAAAATTTAAAATATATTTTACATTTTACCCATTATGTTATGTACCTATTCATTATTTGTATATTGTAAAACATTTGCTGCATTTGTATGGTTCATAGTTTATTTGCCAAAGTATTTATTACTATAAATAGGTATATATTATATTATATTTATTAACTGTATATTATGTATATTTCATGTAAACTATATCATTTTTAAAATACAAATCAAAAACACGAGGAATAATTATATTTTCCATGTATTCTACAACATATTTATTAATCCGTAGTATCTAACTAGCGTGACGTCATAAATCTCGTCCGAGGCTGTTCTATTAGAGACGGCATTGGTCTGAAATTTAGAAATGCCAAAAGCTGATGACATTTGACTTTTGACAATTATGCCATTTCGTGTTGATTTTTGCAAGAAGAGGCAGAACTGTGACTTGTTTTATAATTTTCCTTTTCTATTTCACGAAAGTAAAAAGAGTTACCTATCTGATTCGTTCAGGCACTCAATTTAAAGAATATCAGTAACTTTTTTGATAATTATATTTGCTTTTGATGATTATATTTGCCAGGTTGGTAAAAAATAACGGTCAAAATTCAAAGTTATTCATTTTATAGACTATAGTACATCAAATAATATTTAATTATAGTGAACAAATTAATAAAGATATATTTAAAATCTCATATAATATTTTTAATTGGCTATGACAATATTGGATAAAAATAAATAGTTATGTTGAACATTTTCCTCACACGGCATCATTTGTTTAGATCTCGTTTTGTAAATACTTTAAGTCGATTATCTAAATAATAATCGTTTTTTTTTTAATTTATTGCGTGAAGTTGAATTTTATATATACAAATACTGTTGTTTAAATACGTGATGCAATAAATAGCAAGGTTATTCAATTATTACAAAATGTAATAATTCAGAGTGTCCTGATTTTACTATATTCGACGTATCTTAATTTTTTTTATCAACTGTTGTAATTTTTAAAGGTAAATTAGTAAGTGGTATGTACACGATATTTTGTCTTAATTTTTTGTTTTAACTAATTAATCTAACCCACTTCTAGGTATTTATTAGCTTTGTTCGCGGATGAATTTGTGAACCATTTCACAGTTAATTAAAAGCGCATGTGCAGTTACAGTGCTTCACACGGATTTATTAATTGGTTTCGATATTTGACATCTCAGTAGCCTTTCAGCTGGCATAGCTGAAACGAAAATTCAGTATATCATAACAATTTATTTTATAACTTCATAAAAATTTATTTTATATTACCTACTCATCAAAATTAAAACTAAATCACCACAATACACCAAAACACTTTTACTTTTACACTGGACGCGCGTTTCGCTAACCATGTTAGCATCATCAGCAGATGATTATAAACTAACCTACAATCTACAAGTTGAGCGTTTATATACTCGCTCAGTGGGCACGGCAAGATCTAGCCAACCGAGACAGAGCCCACCGACTGTAACAGTTAGATTTCCGCCACTAGAGTAGTAGGAACAAAGAACTTGAAGGAATTGGACCGTTGTCTCTGTTCATACTATCTTTACATTTATTAATTCTGATGCTTTCATATGCATCTAATTACCTGTAATTTGAGCCTTGTTTAATTAATTTTAAATTATTAAGATCAATACAATGTTCTTTATCAACAATATGTTCGGCAACGCAAGATTTATCCGGTCTTTATCTATCTATCTCCTCTGAGCTAAATGTTCTTTAAACCTAGTTAATATTGATCTTCTAGTTTGCCCAATATATTTCTGATTACAATCTTTACAAGAAATTTCATAAATACCCGACCTTTCCAGTGGAGGTGTTTTATCCTTTGGATTACCTAATAATTGTTGTAATTTATTATTAGCACTATACACAAGTTTATAATTGACATTTTTAAAAATTCCTTTTAGACCACGGGATAACTCTCTAATCAAACGGTATTGAAAAATATTTTGACGTATCTTTCTTCACTTGAAAAGTCGAATATTTCGAAATCATTAACCTATACCTACGTTTTCTAATTATTTTATCAACTAGTGAAGGAGAATATCCATTACACTCAGCTACATTCCTAATGTAATCTCTTTCTATTTCATATCTTTCGTTGGAAAGTGGAAAACTAAGTAATCTATGAACTAAGAAATTTAAACTAGCCATTTTATGTTCAACACTATGATATGATTCATTAGGAATATATCTGCGTGTAGTGGTATTTTTCCTATAGGTATCAAATTCCAGGCAATTATTAGTACTTCTAATAACTAATACATCTAGAAATGGTAATCTGTCGTTGTTCTCAATTTCATGCGTAAATTTAATGGAAGGAAAACGATTATTTAACTTAGAAATAAAATTATCTATGGTGTCTGAATATGTGTCAAAAACAGTAAAAATATCATCCACATACCTAAACTATACTCTTGGAAAATACTCAAACTGATTCTTAACCTCCACTTCAAACCTGCTCATGAATAAATTAGCCAAAACTGGAGACAATGCATTACCCATTGTTGTACCCATTGATACATTGTTCCCGCTGTTTTAAAAAGTTGTTATTAAATTGAAAACAATTTTGTTTCATACATAACGATGTAAGCTCAATATATTCAATCACAGTTTTGTTGTCGAGCCAACATTTGCGTTCAGTAATTCCTTCAAGTATGTGGAATTGGAACACTTGGGAACAACGAAGATACATCAAAGGAGATCAAAATTTCACCTTCATGCAATGTTATATCTTTAATTTTGTTAACGAATTCAATATTATTTTTAACTGAGAAAGGGAGTTCATGATTAGGTAAATTTTCGAACTCCCTTGATAACCATTTTGCCAAATTATAAGTCGGAGAACCTACAGCCAGCATTAGAAAAGGGCATGACAGTTTTGACATTTTAAGTTTTATTCTGCTTCAAAAGAATGAAATCACTCATTTAAAAATAACTAATACATAAACAAGTCAACAAGATACGACAGTCAAGTTCTGTAACAATCGGAATAAAAAAAATTGCACTGCGCATGCGAGCCGTCCTTTGCTAATTCAGACTTCGCACCGCGAACAAAGCTATTACGTCACAAGTTACTAACTCTTTAACTTTTTATTTTTGGAATTGATACTCACTTTTTCAGAAGATGGAGAGGCAAGGTAAACAGGCACTCGAACAGGCTATGAAAGAATCTACTAAGTCAGACAGGGAACGTCACACTATAGCCAAACGTTGGACCAAGCGGGAAGAAGCTGATTTCTTTAGGATAGCCTCGTCCTACGGCGTGATCTACCATAGAAAAAACAAGAAATATGAGTGGTGTAAATTCAAGCAGCTGGCTAAACTCGAGAAGAAGTCTGACGATGAACTGACTGAATACTACAAGCATTTTGTAATGATGTGCAAAAAACAATCGGGTGGCAATTTCGACGAGGGTAATTACGATACCACCATCGAGCATGTTAATGAAGAGAAGGCTAGAAGGACTTTGGAGAGGTTAGAGTTGCTCTCCCGTATCAGGGAAGAGATCTTGACTCATCCGAAACTAGACGAGAGATTGAAAGTTTGTCTCTCGTCGGCGGACATGCCTGATTGGTGGGTACCGGGCAAACACGACAAAGAACTGTTAATCGGCGTTGGAAAGTAAGTAATAAAACTTTACTGATCTTGTGAACACTCTGTATATAATTTTTAACATTTTTTATGCAAAAGTTTCTACTATTTTTTAAATTTAAAATCGCATTTGAGAGAAATGGCCAGTTTAATTCATATTTTCTTAAATAAAAAAAATAGTGAATTCTAGTTATTCAGAAATGAAGGTGCCATATTTCTTATACTAAGGGCTGTCAAAGGTTAGTCTTGGGTCGAGATTTCCGTATGTAAGAAGAGTACAATGCGTTTATAATGTACTGAACAAAGAGAGGACAGTAAACACGTTGCCAAACGTATGAAATAAACCGAGAAACTGTGCACATCGCTAAGAGACGTGGAAGGGGATATAGCAGATTTGTCGCAGTTGACCGGTCGACCCAATCAATAATCAATACCTCTGTCAGTACTTAAAGTTCTAGGGAAAGGTGTACGTCATGCGATTCACGATTTAATTACGTCTCGTGATACTTAATTTGTTTATTTATTAACGAGTCGTTGTAATTTTCCCTATAGCTTGATTTTTTTAAGTGCAAGCTAGACACACTTGCATTTTTGGTAAAAATAAGTGGAATTGAGCGGGTGTTCGATAGTGGTCGCGCTATTAGAACTCTGAATTCAAAAATGGATATCTCGAAATCTATTAGAAATAATAGATTGTAGTTTTTTCAAGAACTTTGTTAGTATTTCTGCTGTATTTTCTTCGTAGGCAGTAAGTGAAAATCTTTATCAATAAAAAAATCACACGATTGCTGAAAATTGCTATGCTCTAAAAGTAAATGATTGTTTACAATTTTTGAATGAAAAAAAAGCAACCTTAACGAATTTTTCTTATGTAAATATATTGTAAAATATCCGATCTTGAAAATAAAAAAAAGTTTCAATATCTAAAGTGGTTCTTGAATTATGGCCTGTAAATTATCGCGATTACTGACGTTTTCTCGTTATAAAAAAATGACACCTTAACGATATCCTTATAATTCCCTTTCAGATGCTCAGAAACATGTCTAATGATTTTATCTAGTTATCTCTTGAAAAAAAGTCTTTTAAAAATAAGCGGTTTGCGATCTTGATTTTACTTTACTTGATAGGGAAAGGCGTACCGGCAACGCCGCAACAGCACACCGTCGCATTTCTCTCACTCCGACTTAATAAGATCCCTATGCGATTTACTTCCACACATGTAATTGCCGACCCAAGAGTAACAGTTGCACGGTATAAGTTTTGTTTCATAGTAAATGTGGATTATTATACTTTTTTACAGGCATGGTCTTGGTAGAACTGATCATTATCTCCTAAACGATCCCGAATTATCATTTCAAGAAGTTCTGAAAAAGAAGGTGACTTCTGAGGTACAAGACACCAAAGGCGCTATTAAATTAGAAAGCCACGAAGATATTTTGAAATTTGATAAAGACGAAATTTTAGTTAAGCTCGAAAAAGGCGAAGGAACGCTTAAAATCGAAAAAGTATTAGCTAAAAAAGAGTGTCTCGATAAAAAATCGCCTGAAGAGGAAGAAGGAAAGGATGGATTTGAAGTTACACCCGAATCTAAACCAGTAGAACCAACCAAAATGGAAACTGAGACTGAAGATAAACTTGCAGAACCTGTAAAGGAAGAACCGGAAGATTTAAACAAACAAGACAGCGAAAAAACTGAACAAGTTGATTCAGTCGAAGTAAAAGAAGCAGAGGTTAAGGAGGAAGAAGAACCGAAGCCTGAGGCTGAAGAGGAAAAGTCTAAACCTCTTGAGCTGGAAACAAAAGACAAAAAGGACGAGAAACAACTAAAATTGGAAGAAGAAATCGCTGCGAATGATTTGTGTTCCAAACAAGCCGCAGAACTGAAAGCTATGTTTCCTGACTTGGAGGTTATCCAGCCTTTGTCCCGACTATCACAAGTTGACACTTTTGTACTTAGAGACAAACCCGGGCCTGCAGGTGTTCTGGACTTCAGCGAAACTACAGTTGCACAGTTATTCAACAGCGCTATCAAGTGGCCCAAAGAATACGCTATTCAAGTTCGTTTGCAACACATCATTTACGCCGTGGAAACCAAAGAATGGCCCGTTTCTAAGTCGTTTTCTGCCTACGCCACTGGCATAGGCAACGAGTTCGACATTCCCATTCACGAGCTACCAAACGAACAACCCAAACGGGAGACTTCCACTCCCGATATAGAAATATCGCTGGCTAAGAAAGTGGATAAGAGGAAAAGACATATTGCTATCGATGTCGAAACTGAAAGAGCAAAGTTGCATGCTTTGTTGAATAGTAGTCACTTGGGGAGTAATTTATCGTCGAAATCGCATTGGGATGAAGACTCTGAGGATTCAAGGTAAGGATAATACACAAAGATGCAAAAAAAAATTTTTTGGTCAAATTTAATATGTTATATTTTGTCATTTTTAGCCCTATTTGCATGATTTTTTTAGCGAACTGTATATAATTATATTAACTTTAATTCGTAAACTCAGTTTTTTGTAAACTTTAGTAATTGGCATATTATACAGGGTTAATCGAGCGATTGTTTTTTATCCTAACTTTAAAACACCCTGTGCAATAATTTCGTGTGTAAATTTTCCTAAAATATAATTTTACGGTAAGTACCGAGTCTCCTGAGCATTTTGTTTTTTGGATCGCGCCAATGCATGCTTTGGTAATAATTTAAAAAAAAAATGAACTGATCACGATCAATTTGCAATTTTTTCAGTTATCATTACTTTTTGACGTAATTTTTTAATATGAAGAGATGGTTTTGGTGACCATTGTCGTAACGTCACATTACACTGCATTGGATACTCTATAGTAAATTTAAAAAAAAATGTTAAAAGCTAACGAAACAGTTCTGGTTTTAATAAATATTCATAACGATAACAGAACTAAAAATATTCAAGAAAACATGGGTCATAAAAAATCATATACAAACAGAAAAAAAATGTAAAAAATGCCCTAATACTTTGTTATTGCCTTCATTGGCTAAGTAGGGAATGCAATCCCGCAACCCTCTGAGATTCCGCGGGATCAAAGTTACGGGATTTACCGTGCGGGATCTGCGGGATCGACACCAGGGGATTCCCCTTACGACTTGCCCATTAAAAATAAGTGAAACAAACAGGTTCGTTGTTAGATTTCTTTCTGGCGTGCGTAAGTGAAGAAAAACGTTTAACTAGTACTTGTGGACAATTTCGTCAAATAAACTGCCGGACATAATTATCGGGACAAGCAAAATTTTAGGGTAAATTTAAAGTTGAATATCTCTTGAAATAAAAAAGATTTTGGGGTGCGGTTTGGACCAGATTTTAGATGAATCTATTGTGATTAAGATACTATGTTGTTTTCGAAATTATATTTAGCGAATTCTCGTATACAGGGTGTTTTATAAGAGTGTGAAAATTTGGCTAAGAATCTTTTTTACTGCAAATTTACAATTTTTAAAAAATCGAAATTTTTAGCAAGTACGACTAATCTGTATTGAAATTAGAAAAAAACAATTTGATCGTTTGATTTTTTTTTGCCTGTATAATTGCCAAATATTAAAGTTAATTATATACACATTACTAAAAAAATCGATAGTAAATTAGCGATTTGTAATTCATTTTGTGACAAAAGTTCTAAACCTATATCTGAAAACTTATATTTCGGGTATTAAAATTAACCAACTATTATTCAGAAAATATCAATAATATTTTAAATGTCCGTATTGAAAATATCGACTCTTTTTAATTATCAACATCTCTAATACCAGGAGGTCAACGCCACAAGGAAATCTTCAACCGCCACCGGCACATCAACACCGAGCTTCCACGTTGAACATGACAGTTGGTCAGATGCCGTTTGATTATGCCAACAAATATCAACCTGCTTTAACTCCCAAAACTATAGGACAGACGACGGTGATTCCCGGAACTAGCAGTACTCTAACCCCCATAGATTTGAGTTCTAGGTATAGTAACATATGTGTTATTAAGGGTGTATTCCGTTGCTTACCTTGGTTGTGGTTTTATGTTCCGTTTCTATCGGTTTCCTGAAAGTTTTCTTATTACGGAACACGGTTCCTGAAAAATTCGGTTATAATCGGTATCAATCAATGTCATTTATGTGACAGAAATCAAGCAAATATGGGAAAAGAATTCTCCATTCTCCACTCCATTGAAAAGAAGAAGCAAACGTAAAAGCAGAGAACAGGTACATTAAAAATGCATAAAAGATCAATTTTATAGTAGAGGTATTGAAATTTAGAAAACGCCAACATTTGACGTTTCCAGTATTTTACCAAACCGTTCCGTATCAAACCGATGTTTTTCAGGAACCGCTCTTTACCGTAGTTTATCGGTCTGGTTCGCCTGGTTTTGCAACGGAATACAGCCTAATTTAGAACATTTCATGTGTATAGCTGACACTTGAGAATTCAGATACAAACTAATTCAAAAATATCAGTTGATTTAAATTTAACAAACGTCGGTGTAGGATCTGAGTTCTAAAAAATTAATAGTTGCATTTATCACAGTAATATCACTGAATACCTTAGGTATTCAGAAGCGACAGTTACTTGCTTTGAAGTTTATTTCCCCAAAATAGTGTCCGTTCTTTTTTAGGTTTTGATACAAGTAAAAATATAAAAACAGTCTTTCTTGACGGTTGACATCAATTTTTTAACAATCCGTCTATTATAGCATTCCAAAGACCGACAAGGTGTCGATAGATTTACAAAACGAGGTGCAAGACTTTTCTCTTAAGAAGCCCCCTACGCCTAGTGGCAGCGGTAGCAGTATTAGTAGTGGAGCTTCGAAAGCGGGCAATAAGTTAGATGACACTTTGTCTAAGTTGATGAAGAGGAAAAATTGCGTAAGTATAATTGACAATAAATCGCACATACTGAAGATAACTAATGTTGGCTGTAGTTAAAAATGATCTTACATTGCTGTAAATTGTTTCAATTTTCAAAAAAATCGCCGATCATCATTTTCTTGCATCTAAAAAATACAGAAATAGTGTTTATTTACTACCTATTTTTAATACACATGGGACATACCTAGTACTGCAGAAACGTCTTTTTCTCCAGGATTTTTCATCTAATATATATTTTATATGCTTTATTACCTTTATATTTATAAATTTCTGCCGAAATATCAAATTGAATTTACAAAGCAAAACTAAACGGAAAGAATTAAAATGGCGTCGAAATTTGTTCTAGAACAAATCTGAAGTTGTCTCTGAAATTTGTCAATTATAATCTGTGAAGTTAGACAATAGTTAGACAGAAACATTGCTGTCCTTGTCTAGGCGGCCATACTTGTCGTCAGGAGATGACAGGAATGACACTAATGACTGTTTCCAATTTTCCTATTTCACTGTCACCCCCCTGGTTTAAACTGGATATTATCTATAAACTGTGCTCTGCGTCTACACTTAATTTTCCCTCGATTTTTCCTCCACTTAACTTTAAAAAACGCAAAACCCGTAATAATACAAATCAAAATATAAAAGCAATTCGCAAATATTTATTATTTTCCATAACGCAGTTTGATACAATTTGACACAAATTTGGCAAGAAAATCTTAAGTCGAGTTCATGCGTATCTACGTTGCGCATCGTTCTGTCACTCCAATCGTAGTGAAATATGATATATCATTTTTTAAATAAACCAATAAGTAAAAAACACTTTTACTTTTACACTGTCAGTGTAAAAGTAAAAGTGTTTTGGTATATTGTGGTGATTTAGTGTTTTATTTTGCTTTAAAAATGTTCTATTTTAGAATTTTCAGAGAACCTGCTAATGATTGTCAAATTTAGGTAAAAATTCGTCAAAATATATAGTGTCAAAACTACCCTGCGTAGAATATGACATCGTATTTTCTTAATGGAAATTTAATGACAAATTCATTTACTTGAAAAATATATAGCATTCCATTTAAATATAAACAACTTTAGTTTGAAAATATCTTTGAATCGCCCTGTATATCTAATGTGTATGCCATGTATGGAAATATTGTTAAAACATGCTCGTGAATTTTATAAAAACGATTAGAGTAGAAATATCAAATCCGAAACCTCACAAGAGCTCTTTCGGAATGCTGGGTCGCCCTATACCGGGTGCGTCTCGAAAGTGGCTCACCCCTATAACTTTTTATTTTTGTCAGATAAAAAAACGAGATTTCTTATGTTAGTATATGACATAAATTAGGATTGATTGACATATTCAATTGCTTTTGGTCATTTCCAGTTTCACCGGAAATAACTACAACTTTTGATTAAAGCACCATCGATATGTTTTTACTTTATTCTATAGAAAATGACACTCTGAATAGAATGACATATCATATGTCAACTTTTGACATTTTCGCTTATGGTTTATTTGAAATTGTAACATGCGGTTCATAACGACAATTTGACAATCAATACATATATATATATGTAGCAGCATAGTATGCATATCCGGCAGTATATCAATTTGAAATACCAAGTGTGTGGTATCAAATTATTCGTAAAAAAATGCTTTTTCCAAATATGCTAATGATCCACCCTCGTTCCATTTGAAAAAATTGAGATATGTATGATTAAAAATACGATATGGGCATCTTTTAACCGGCCAGGGACAAGAGACTAAAAACATTAGACGATCAAATCTATTTTTCCAAGGCTCCTTGATTAAAAATTGTGTGTGTTTTAAACACAGCCATGGTACTCTAGATTGAAATTTAATAAAATACAATTTGTTTTGAGTGAATATGTCAAAAGTTGACATATAATATGTCATTTGATTCAGAAAACCATTTTCTTTCGAATAAAGTAAAAAAATACGGAGGGTTCCATTTAAAAATCAGAAGTTGTAGTCATTTCCGGTGAAACAGCAAGTGACTATAAACAACTGGATAAGTCAATCACTCCTAATTTACGTCATATACTAACATACCAAATCTCATTTTTTTTTTATCTGAAAAAATAAAAAAGTTATAGGGGGTGAGCCACTTTTGAGGCGCCAAAAAATATCCAGCACAAAGAAATTTATCTATTTTGGTATACTTTTTCAGCCCGAACCTGAACCTGTCGTTGGCAAAGAAAAGAAACGTCGCAAATTGGACGAGATCGTTCTGGGACTGTCTGCCGCCAAGGAGCAGTCCCTGTTCCCCGAAACGACCAAGAAACCTCCCGTCACTCCTAGCGTAACCGTCACGCCTACCAGCGCTCCCGTAAGCACCTCCCACAATAACCCCTCCCAAAAACCTTTCACCATAACAGTCACTTCCGTTCCCTCAGCCGCCCAGTCCTCGTCCAATCGGGGCAACGCCATGCCGAACATGCTACCTACGCTCTCGTCCAAGGATAGTTTCTCCACGTTTTTGGCGCAGGCCGAGCAACAGAATTTCATGCTGAAGAAACAGCAGCAGCATAGAAAGAGCTATGAGGTAAGTGAATTTGTTGAGAGATAAGTAATGCTTTAAGTTTAACAGAGGATATAATGAAATACACACACCGGAAAAGTCCAGGGATATTACAGTTTTACCCAACCATCGTCGGCAATTTTATTATTTGCATTTCTGATATAATATAATTAAAATAAACAAATAGTTTACAGGACGTATTGGAAATAAAAATGCGAAAATTACCGAATTTTTCAAATTTACCTTGATTTTTATTGAACTCAAAAAAAATACACACATTTTTTTTTATTCTAAACTGTGAATTAAAATAAAAAGATAAAACCATTTTTACTTAATAAAGGGTATGGCCTCCTCTACTGTTCATTACAGCCCTACATCGTCTCTCCATGCTCCTGATCAGGTTGTCGATCTCTTCTTGAGGTACAGCCTGCCACGCTGCATTCACGGCCCGAACCAGATCCCTACGAGTTTCACGAGGCATACCATTCTCAAAATTCTTCTTTGGACCGCGTCCCATACGTGCTCGATGGGGTTGAGGTCAGGAGATTGTGCCGGCCAGGGTAAGATGTTTAATTGATGAGCATTGATAAACTCACTTACCACTCTGGCTGTATGAGGCCGTGCATTGTCATGCATGAGAATGAAGTTTCTCCCAAAATCATTGGCATATGGTAACACGCCAGGCTCAAGAATTAAATCACGATATGTGATTCCTGTTAGAAACCTTTCAAGAAAAACGAGATCGATTTTTCGGCCTAACTGGACTCCTCCCCAGACCATACCTGTTCCACCTTGATAAGGGTGCACTTACTGAACATGATCCAACCGAATAAAATTTCCCGGTTCTCTCCATACCCTAAGCCTTCTCGAATCTGGATCAATTCCAAAGCGTGACTCATCCGTGAAGAGAACATTGGCCCATTGTTCATTCGACCACTGAACATGATCTTGAGCCCACAAATATCGTACCTCTCGATTTCCTCTCGTTAAGGGTTGTCTGCTTCTTAAGTTGACCTCTCTTAATCTATTGCGAACAGTGTCTGGACTAACTGTTACATTATGTGTTTCCTGGAGAATTAAACTAAGCTCTGGTGCTGTAAGAGTCGGTCGGCGTCGAGCATTTAATTGTAAAAAATGATCTTGCTAAGGGGTGGTAATGCGATGTCGCCCTGTGTGCTTTTCAGCAACATCGCCACTTTCACGGTAGTGTGCACGTAATCGCGATATTACACTTTGCGTTGTATTTAATGCTCTAGCTACGTCGATTTGGCGCATTCCAGCTTCGAGCATACCCATGGCCCTTAACATTTCGTCTCTGTTAAGATGTCTACGCTCCATAATGTCGTTTAATACTAAACAGAGTCATTTAAATGAATTCTGGCCAGTTATCATAAAAACATAGCCAGTACAGGTTAAATTCGAACAATTGATGCTAGGTGCTTTTTATACATTTGACAAAAAATGCACAAACACTTCTGCAAATATCCCAAATTTAGAAATAACTAGTGTGACTACTTCGTTTCAATCGAAGTAGAAAGAATCGGCCTACAAATATGTGGTTGTTTATTCAAAACATTTATTTTTAACTTTAATAAAATGATATCCTTAGATTTTCCGGTGTGTGTATATACAATATGATCGAAAAAAAACCGGCGTCAGTGATGGCTCTAGAATGAAGCTCGCTGTTATTTGTTGTATAATTTAAGATACCGAGCAGCTCTTCATTTTACTTTATAGAGCAAATGATTGTAACAAATATTTTATTTAGATTAAAGCTGCAAAAATTAGTTTAAACCGAATTTTATTATCGCTATGTTGGTCACATTGCGCCATGTTCAGTAATGTTGTCCTTTATTATTTGACAATTATCCTAGTGTCAGTCATTATTTTGTATAATATCGTGCCGTTGAATCTTTGTGAGTAATTCTCGTTTTTGTGCCTATTTTCGTAGTTTTATTTTTAAATCGTACTTTTAAGCACAAACAGTTCTTTGAAGAACTAAATTTTCGAGTTTTTTTATTGCATTTCTTGAAATTGTGTGTTGAAAATATGCCGAAGCATTTAAACAGTCGAAGCAAAGATATTGTAGCTTCCTTGTTTTTTTTTTTAACTATTTTGAATGAGAACGTGACAATAAAGGTCCTAAAAAATGTCGATACCTATGTGGCGGATTCATCTTTCCAAAAAACTCCCTTATGGGTATTTCGCCACTGCACTGCAAGAAAATCTACAAAATAAAATAATTATTTTTTTGTAAACACTTCTGCGTTAAATCTAAACGGAAGCTGCTTGTCAGAAGTTATGTTTATAGTAATACAAATTTGCCTAACAAAGAAAAAAAAATGCTTAACGTTTCGGAAAGTTATCTCTTTCCGTCGTCGGAAGCAAAAAAAATACAAAGAATAAAGAAAAACTATTTAAAATATTTAAATTCAACTATTCGAGAACACTTTACTTTTTTAAAACAGATACTTCTACAAGAAACCGTTGACGTTCTGTTTTGATTGACAAGCACATTATACAACTTTCAAAGTTAGTTTTTATTAAATTCTGTGATTATTAGTTTGTGCATTAATAGCACCCTCTTACTTGTTATCACCACTTATAGCGTTGTAATCAATAAATAAATCACCCATAATAACGCTTATAAATAATCTTCATAATGGACTAGTTTTTGCCAATATGTAATAAGTAAAATAAGCTATAAAACAAATAAATCAATTAATCAGTAAAATATTAGTTATTAAATTAAAAACAAAACGTAAAACTCTTTAAAAAATGTTGTTTGTCAATTTTAAATTAAGATCTCATAAATCCATCACAATCTGGCAGCGCTGTCGCCACTGCTTGTCAGTCAAAATTGATCACGTGCATCGGAAATTGTTTTGCGATTACTTTAGGTGTGTTTTTTTTGCAAGCAGCTGCTTATAACTGCTGTATAACTATTCTTCAGTAGATAGATAAATGTAAATTTTTCTCTTAGGCTATGATTGCCGACATCGGTTCCAAAGTCAATTACTCGCACGAAGCGAAAGTGAACAAATGGCTGGCTGAACAGAACGCAGCCTTGGCCGAACAACCTCTGGGAACCGATTACCTATCCCCGCGCCGTCGCAGGCCCAGGGTGGACCCCACCCTCCTCGATTGGAAGAAGCTGACGGGCGATGAGAATGTCTCTGTCATCCACCGAGTGACAGGGAAGAAACTGACCGGACCTAAAGCGCCTACGCTTAAGCGGCTCGGTCAGTGGTTGATGGAAAATCAGATGTACGATATTGATCCTAAGTGGTCGGATTTGGTTAAGGAGAAAGGTAATTTGGGAACGGATCTGCACAAAAGACTACCTGTTCAAAATGGTATGATCCTTTTTTTTATTAAGTATTAAATTAATTTCAATATTTTTTTTAAGTGTCTGGCATGTCTGGAAGTAACAAACCGAAATCCAGCAGCTCTGGACGGCCTCCCTTGCTATCCAGCCCAACAGGTTCGACGTCCAGCGTCAGTTCAGCCAACGTGACCACCTCATTACCTTCCAATATGTCATTCCCGTCGCTGAGCAATTCGGGACTGGCGGGAATAAACTCGAACCTTTTGTCTGGTCTTTCGGGACTGGGTCAGTTCGATCCTAAGAACAATCCGCTGCTCATGCCGTTCGCCGGGTTGCCTATGGGATCGATGGGCGGATTGGGTAACCTATCTAATATGAACTTGTTCGCTAATCTGGCTGGATTGGGAGGTTTGCCTGCATTGGGTGGTATGGATCCGAGTCTGTTGGCTAGTGCGGCGGCAGCTGCAACGTAAGTATAACAAAATTAAAGTATAGTATTGTCGCGACCTAGCTTTGGGGGTTTTGGCTAGGATCGCTTAAGTTCCAGATTCTCTCTTTAGATTAATTAGTAATATTAGTAATAGATAATAAATAATTAATTAGTAATATATATTAATTTTTATTTTTCCAGATAAAAAAACGAGATTTGGTATGTTAGTAATGTCATAAATTAGCATTTATCGACGTAATCAATTGTTTTTGGTCATTTTCTGTTGCACCGGAAATGACTACAAATTTTGATTTTTAAATGACACCCTCGCCATTTTTTTACTTTATTCGATAGAAAATGACACTGAATAGAACGACATATCCTTTGAATAAGAAGACTAAGGAAGGAGCATATCAAAAATCTTAGGTACACCGTGATGGGCCTCAAATATGGCCGACTTAAATTCCGGTTTATCAGTGTCGTTCTAATTTTATTTAAAAAATGTAAAACTATGATGTAGGGTAGACGTGGGGTAGACTCAATAATTTGTTGTTTTATTTTACGTTGTGAATAAATGTTGGTAGTTATTAAAATTGTTATAAAATATATAATTCTAATAAAAATAGATAAGTTATAATAAGTATTTATTAACACAAACATCCGATACGCTACTGAAGCATGTAAGTCAAATTAACGTATCTAAATTCTTTGACATCTAATCTTTGACAAGCAATAAATAAAAGCTAAAAATGCAAGAAAAATATATAATTTAGTTAATTTAAGTGAATTTCATAAATGATCGGTTTACTACACGTATGTATATTATATAGTCACTTACTAGCGAAAAGTTGTTCCATTATTTCACTCAATTTTTGCCGAGATCTACCGCACGCTACACAACCAACTATTTTAGAGTCTTTTTCGATAAATCGGCGATAGTGTCACTGTTAATTTAAGTTCTGCCACAATTTCCATCTAGATTTACTACCTTTATACAACTATCAGTAGTAGAATAAATAATAAATAACATAAAATAAGCTCCGTAAAGACTGACAAATCCACAAAATTTCAAATCAAATTCAAATGTCTAAAACGAATCGTCAAACAGAACTGTCAAGGATCCCCACCCTAGAGTGCTTTTTCCGCCCACCATGCATGAATACATGGATAGCATTATGTTCCTTCCTTAGTCTTCTTATTCAAAGGACATATCATATCTCACTTTTGGCATTTTCGCATATGGTTTATTTGTAACATGCGGTTCATAACAACTTGACTCGAAATACCAAGTGTGCGGTATCAAATTATTCGTAAAAAAATGCTTTTTCTAAAAATGCTAATGAGCCATCCTTGTTCCATTTGAAAAAATTGAGATATGAGTAAAAAACGATTTGGGCGTCTTTTAACCGGCCAGGACAAGACAAAAAAACCTTTGGCCGTTCAACTCTATTTATCCAAGTGATTAAAAATTGCTTGATTAAAAATGAGCGTTTTTAACACAGCCATAGCACTCTAGAATGAAATTTAAAATAACGATTTTATTAAGCTTAATGACATGTCATGTCAAATTTTGACATTTTCAAAAGTTGACATGACATGTCATTCTATTCAGAGTGTCATTTTCTATCCAAAAAAGTAAAAATATACCGAAAATCAAAAGTTTTAGTAATTTCTTCTGGTGTAACAGGAAGTGACCAAAAACAATTGAATACGTCAATCAATCCTAATACTAACATACCAAATCTTCTCTTTTTATCTGAAAAAAAAAATAAAAAAGTTCTAGGAGCGAGCCACTTTTGAGACGCACCTGATATATATTCAATATTTTGCAGCAGTGGCGGTAAAAGCACTAGCAAGTCCAACACATCGTCCAGCAGTACCAAACAAGAAAAACCTCAAGAAGCCCACTCTTCCAGCAAGAGCCAATCGTCAAGCAACAGTTCTAACATTCCGACCACTAACCCATTCCCGTTCTTCTTCCCCAACCCTAGCCTGCTCTACACCCCTATCGGCTTGGGCGGTCTCAATCCCTTCACTCTCCAACCGGGCATGTCCGCTTATGACAGCCTGAGTCTGTTGAACGGAAGTCTGAACCCTACACCTTCTTCCGGCTCCAACACCAAGCTCAAGTCCAGTTCTTCGAGTTCGTCCCGGCCTTCTTCTGTGGCGACTACTGCCACCGCCGTTTCTAGCCCTAGTAGCGGGAGCAGTGGCGGCATGAAGCAGCCGAGCAGGTCCGTGAACACGAGGGACGCGCACATACAACAACTGTTGCTGCCGCCCGATACGCAGATATTGGAGGGGATGTCGAAAGGGGCGCTCAGTGGGTTGGAGATGAGTATGAAGATGGGCAAGGCGGATAAAAAGGAGGAGAAGAGAAAGGCACTGGAAAGTTTAAGAGGTAACTGAAAAGTTTTATTCTTAAATCTTATAACCTATGTAGATCGTAAATACGTTTCATTCGTGTTGAAAATATATCAGAGACATTCGATTATCTTTCTCTCTTGCCACTCATTTGATCGATCGTCACGCTGCACGGTGGGGTATTAGCATGAAAAAGGTGATCGAAATTCGAAAAAGCAAATGTGTTTAAGATTTCCCAAAAAAAGATAAATGATAAGTTTCAACGAAACGTCAAAGTTGTTACTTCTCACAGATAAGAGTTAAATGGCTAAATTTTATGTTTAAAATTATAAATTGTTGTTGTTCTTGTGCTCTTTTTACGTTTATATTATTGTTTTGATTGAAAATGGCTCAGCAAGCTGCAGGTATGTATTCTACAAAAACGTGTTATTTATTTTGATATTCTCTATACTAACGATTTTGTTTGCAACTAAAAGTTAGGCGTTCAGAAAATTTGATTAAATTTGTGACATTTTTATTATACTTAGAGATTTAGTTGCGCATTTCGAAGAATTCAGCATATTGTCTATATACGTTTTACTTAGTAAACATTGGGCTTTCATACAGTAAAATAAAATATTGCGACTTTTTGCGACTTTGCTGATAAAATGAGAAAAACATTCTCGGTTTCCTCTAATTTGCCAATCAGTGATATACTAATGCGAGGTGTAAACCGCGATGGCATTGTTGTGTACAAAGCGATCGCATTAGTGCCATTAGCAGTATAGCACAATTTAGCATTAGTAGCGACTTTAGTGGTATGGGCATCATGGGTCGTAGCATTAGTAGTATTAGTTGCGATATTACTACTGGCATTAGTGGCATTGACCGTGGAAACCCTGGAACAGTGATTTTTCTTTCTTTTTTTAGAATCGACGAATTGTCCTTTATTTTGTTCATATTATTTCCTCTTTAATTGAAAATAGCAATAATTTATATAAGGTCTACATAAAAAAAATTTGATCAACTATCTGTGTCAAATACCCCACTGTGCGCTGTCTTTTGTGTACATGTCACCTTTAAGAAATTAATCAACCTTTAAACTTGGAAAATATACTTTTATGGACAAAAATTATTATTATATTAGATATTTATTGGATATCAGTGTTTTAAAAGTTTCTGAATAAAAAGGAAAGTAGATAGAAAAGAATAAATTCGAAAAAAGCAGTATACAGCTGGCTGTTCTTCGTCTGTTGAACAATTAAGCTTCAGTTAATGTGATTTAAAAAATATAAAGGTACTACTGGTATATTCTGTAATTATACCGTGCTAGCAACTGTTACGTCGGTATTTAAATGTGTGGAAGTAAATCGCATAGGGATCTTATTAAGTCGGAGTGAGACAAATGCGACGGTGTGCTGTTGCGACGTTGCCACATTTCTCCGTTGCGCCTTTATCAAGTAAGGTAAAATCACGATCGCAAACCGCTTGTTTTTAAAAGACTTTTATTTTCGAAAAGATAACTAGATAAAATAATTAGATATGTTTCTGAGCATCTGAAATGGAATTATAAGGATATCGTTAGGTGTGTGTCCATTTTTTTTTATAACGAGAAAACGTCAGTAATCTTATTTTGTATTTCGGCTCTTTTACTTATTGTTAATAGTGTTAAAAATGACTTTCCATTTAACAGACAGAATTTATAATTTGAAAACTGTAAAAAAACCTGGCATTTAACATAAAAGACGGATAAACAATGTTTATAACCACGAAAAAGGTTTGTGAATATGAAATTTGCTACGTAGCAAAGGTTTACAGTGTTGCCAAGAATATTCGCTGATTAACTAAACAAAATACATGGTGCAAATGTAACAAAAATCATCATTGATTTAAATATAATCAGTGATTACTTAAACACTGTTTACAGGCAATTTGATGCAAACGGCCATAAGAATCTAGTTATTTATTAAATATTTTATTGCATTTTAGTTAAAGATATATATTTTTATAGGTATATTGCCGACTGATTTTACTCATATGTCTAAAGACAAAAGATCTTCGGGATTCCCCGGCCTAGCTGACTTTACGAAACTGTTAGAAGCGCAAGGCCAATCGTCCAAGAAATCTCAGGAACAACAGATGCGAGAGGCGCTGGAACAGTTTAATAAAACTAACGAAATTATAATGGCAAAAGCTTTAGCTGAAGAACAGGTATGTCCATCCATATTAAATATAATTTACATGTAACACATGAGTAGTTAGAGAAAGCTGTTATGTTGAACTTCAACTGTTGTTTATTTGTCGATTTATTTTGCTCATATTCAAATAAACCTTTTTAGGTGCGACTAAGTAGTACATCGAGTATGAAAAGACCAAGGGAAGCGAGTCAATCGCCTTTACCTTTAGACAAGTCTTCGGTAGTGGAGGAGGATCAACCGCCTGCGAAGATACCTAAAATTCATACGCCTCAACCCGTAGAACCTATGGAGAGGCTTCCTACGCCTCAACCGCAATCGGTGCCGCAAAAACAGCCTTCACCGGCACCGACGTCCACGCCTATACCCCCCATTGAACAAGTAAGTAGAAAGAACGTAAAATCAGCACCAACTTAAAAAATAAAGCATATATTATTCTCTTCGTGACGTCATCACTGGTTAAGTCTGTATAAACATCCTTCAACTTTGTCATGCGTTATTGGACAAAAATTAGAGAAATTAAAAATGAATATAAAAATTACAAGAACATAGTTGTTGCTAACCTAATAAAATGAATAATGGGTAGGGTAATCGTGATTAGCTATAACTTCACGACATCGCTTTGGCATGGAGTCCAATAGTTTTCTTATGGTATCTGGTTCAATGGAATTCCAGGCCTCTTTCAAAATTCTTCTTAAATCTTTCTTATTGCTAATGCGACTTCGTCTTACCCGGCGATCTATTTCCTCCCACAGGTTTTCAATGGGGTCTGGACTTTGGGCAGGAAAGTCCATAAAAAAAGAACTTTTTCTTTCTTCATTCCAAAGGTAATTCGGACCTTCTGGTTCTTCTTACTGATGAGTGTTTTTTTGGCTGCTCTTCTGCTAAATAATCTGCTTCCCTTAGTCTTCTTTGGATGGTCTTGAGCTTATATTGACACCAGGTAGTTCACTCAAAATTTGATTTGCCGATTTTTGCGGATTAGTTAAGGCGATTTTTTTAATTATCGTTTCAATTTTTTTCGTAGTTTTCCTTGGCTGACCACTTTTTTTAATAGTCTTAAGGAATTACGAGTTTTGAAATTGGAAATCGTTTTGCTAATGACAGATTTTTGACACATCACTTATTCTTTATTCGATGATATTCCAAATATTTAATGTTAAATCCGTATTTCTTCTGAAAAAAAAGTGTATAATATTTTGATCATACTGGACTACTCTTTCAGGAGGGAGTAGACATCGAAACTTTACTACCTTCTTCAGTAGTCACTTCCGCTACCGTCACGCCGGAGAAATCTCGGCCCGTCAGCCCGCAGCAGGACGTAAGTGAACCTGCAGAAGAGCTCGAACCACCAGATCAGGTTATCCAACAACCGGAACTTGATAATTCTGCCCAAGCCGCGTCATCTAAAGAGGACGATAGTAAAAGCGTTGCCGGCGGCGCGGAGGAAGCTGATCTACCGCCAAAGAAAAATACTAAACGTAGAGGTAAGTTTGGTAACATATCTGTTCGTGCGTAAAAAATCTATAAAATTCATATTAATTTCTTTACAATCATTGTTATTACGTCATACTAAGGGCTGGCAATGGTTAGTCTTGGGTCGAGATTTCCGTATGTAAGAAGAGTACAATGCGTTTATAATGTACTGAACAAAGAGGGAACAGTAAACACGTTGCCAAACGTACGAACTAAACCGAGAAACTGCACATTGCTAAGAGACGTGGAAGGGGATATAGCAGATTTGTCGCAGTCGACCGGTTGACGCAATCAGTACCTCTGTCAGTACTTAAAGTTCTAGGAAAAGGTGTACATCATGCGTTCAGCTTCACGATTTAATTACGTCTCATGATACTTCATTTGTTTATTTATTAACGAGTCGTTGTAATTTTCCCTATAGCTTGAAAATGTTTATGTGCAAGTTAGAAACACTTGCATTTTTGATAAAAATAAGTGGAATTGAGTTGGTGTTCGACAGTGGTCGCGCTATTAGAACTCTGAAAAAATCGATATCTCAAAATCTATTAGAAATAATTGATTGTTGTTTTTCAAAAACTTTTTTCGCAGGCAGTATGCAAAAATCTTTATAAATAAAAAAGTTACACACGATTGCTGAAAACTGCTATGCACTAAAAGTAAATGGATGGTTTGTTTAAATTTTAGAATGAAAAAAAAACAACCTTATCGAATTTTTCTTATGTAAACATATTGTAAATGATCCGATCTACAAAATAAAAAAAGCTTCAATATCTAAAGTGGTTCTTAAGTTATGGCGTGTTATGTGTAAAAAAGTTGAGTTTTTAATTTGTCGCGATTACTGACGTTTTCTCGTTATAAAAAAATGGACACCCTAATGATATCCTTATAATTCCATTTCAGATGCTCAGAAACATATCTAATGATTTTATCTAGTTACCTTTTCGAAAAAAAATCTTAAAAATAAGCGGTTTGCGATCGTGATTTTACTTTACTTGACAGGGAAAGGCAACAGCGCACCATAGCATTTCTGTCACTCCGACTTAATAAGATCCCTATGCGATTTACTTCCACACATGTAAATACCGACCCAAAAGTAACAGTTGCCAGCACGGTATATTATCTGGTATTTAATTTTTGAGGTTTCCTTATAGTACGAGAGCTAGCAACGTCGAGAAAACAAGTATTTTAAGAAAGCTGACTTTTTAATATATCGTTTACTATGCTCTCTGGAACAGCATGCGGCCCATGCGGTGTGTGCATTGAAAGAAGATCCTATATTTTTATTAGTCCTTTAAATTCTAGTATTGAATATAAACCGACCGAGTCTCCATGGTGCAGCGTGTAGAGGTTCCGCCTATCAAGCGAGGAGTCAAAGTTCGAGACCGGGTCGGAGTAAAAACTTTTTTATTTTATTTTCGTTTATATTCTGATAGTAAAGTTATAGTATTAAATAATTCTGCTGGTGAAAAAAAAAACAAATATTTAATACTTTACTATCAGAATATACACGAAAATAAAATAAAAAAGTTTCTGCCCTGACCCGGTATCTAACTCTGAATCCCCGGTTCGTAGTCGGAAACTCTACGCGCTGCGCTATGGAGACTTATTCGATTTATATTCAATACTAGAATTTAACGGACTAAATAAAAAAAATATAGGATCTTCTTCCGATGCGCAGTAGTGAACGCAACGGGTATCGGCAGCCAGACGGACCGCATGCTGTTTCAAAAAGCATAGTAAAAGATATATCAAAGAGCCAGACGTCATAAAATACTTTCTCGAAAACGTTGCTAGCTTTTAGACTATTATCTCAAGTTCAAACTTCATACAAGATATGACGTCATCAGTAATAGAACCCATTAAATAAAAACGATGTAGGCATTAATTATCGTACTTCTAGACCTATTTAGTATATATGAAATTTGCAAACGATGACGAGGGCATTTTATTTAGAAAGGTGTTGCTGATCTTGCAGGTAAACGCAAGTCGGGTGACATCCTCCTCGACCCCGAAGCCGTCATGGAGAAGAAGAACCTGAGGTCGAGCGCTAGCAGGTCTGCCGCGGCGGCCGCTGCAAGACAACAAAGAGAGGCGGAAAACGCACAACGAGAGAGTGAGAACGCATCCTAAGAATGACAGCACAAATAAGAACAGAATTGAAGACTGCTAGACGCGTTATTTCGATCGCTGTGAATGGGTATTTTGTAAACTGTGATAAAACTAAAACGTTGAACGCTGAAATAACTCGTGGATATCTCTAACAGTGTGTTAATATTCATAATTCGATGTGAGTATATCGCCGAACTGATCTATTACGCTTGATAAATATGTATTCCCCCAATTACAATGAAATAACTTCTTTTAAGGGCATAATATTAACGGTAGTAGTTTTAACGGTTTCAAAGATTGAAGTTAATCATCATCTGCATAAGGAGACTCGAATTCTCTTTTTTTCGTAACTCTTTTAATAGTTACAAAAAATATGTTTAAACAAAAATTGAATGAAAAATTCGACGTTTATTTTTCTTTTTTATTATTATTTTTATTATTTAATTTTAATGAAGTGTCTTTATTTTTTAAGTATCGATATTCTTTTTATTTTTACTTTCTACATGTAAATATATGTTTAGACATTTAGAGACGTTGAGTGTGAAAAAGTGTGTAAATAAATGTGTGTTTCATTTATTATTTTTCTCTGTTTAAGAAACTCTTTAGTCATTTAGAGTTGTGTCAAAACAAGTAACATTTTTATTTAGCAATATTTATGCATCCTGTGTTTCTATTTATTGACTTTTTATATTTTTTACTTAAAATTTGACTTCATTGCAGGATACTATAGGTTGTCTCAATCGTAAACATGTACACTTCTAGTATGGTAGCTCTCTCATTTATTGTTATAAAAAATTCATATAGGTAAATAAATATTATAAAGCAAGAAAACTGTGTTTTAACATTTGTAACCATCATAAATTATATCAATCAAGTCTTGTTTATACCTATATTAACTAGTTATTCAGCGTGAGTTAGTTCTGGGAGTCCACTGAGGGATGGCTACGAGAATTGCATCGCGGGAGGCAATCGCAAGAACGGTAAACTAATTAAGAATTATTAACCTAATAAGTTTACAGTTCTTGCGATTGTCCCACTTAATTAGAATTCAAGTTTTGAAAGATCCGCGATGCAATTCTCGTAGCCATCTATCAGTGGACTCCCAGAACTAACTCACACTGAATAACTACCGTATGATCGAATAAAAACGGCGTCAGCGATGGCTATGAAATGAAGATCGCTGTCATTTTATATGGGAAATGTCATCGATCGTCATTTCCAAGCCAACTGGACGCCGTTTTTGTTTCGATCATACGGTAGTTAATATATAAACAAGGCTATAAGACTTTTTCCTTGCTTAAGTCCACGGCCACACAAAAAGCGTTTTGCGTTTTTTTGCGTCCTCAAGCGCTTTTTGCGATTTTACCGTTTTAAGCGCTTTTTTCGATTTGTGTCCATTAAAAACACGCAAAAGACGCGGCAGGTCTGCAGTTTCTATCAAGACGTCAATTAGTAACGTCGCAAGCTCGTGGATTCCCGGCCAGTCCAACAATCAATCCTGTGAGAAAGAGATAGGCGAGATCAGCGCCGTTAGCGTTGAATAGACGAAGATAAAAGATGCTGGCCGGGGCATATATTCGGAGACAAACACAATCTACTGCTAGTGCCAGTGGTGTGTGTAAAAATAATTAATTAATTATTTGCCATTTATTTTACTAATTTTAGTTTATATGTGTATAGTTTTTTTTTTATGTTGTAGTGTTGTGGTTAGTACTTGTTATATAACTATAATATAATAAATAATTATAATTATATAATAGAATAGTAAATATTTCTAGTTGCTAATGCAATTTTAGGACATGATTTATGAAACATTATGGAGTGAAACTTCTTTACGCGCGCTGGGAGTAAAAATTGAAGGCCGTGACATACGAGCTAGTGAGTCGGCCTTGACTCACAAGCTCGTTGTAACGAAACGTGTTAACGGCTTAGAAATACGTAGTGACGTGACGTATATTTGTGAGCAGTCCACGTGTTTATCAAAAATACTGATATTTTAATACAAATTTTGTAAAGGTGAATAAAATTATTACGTGTAAAAAAACATTTGATACACGTAAAAAACTATTTTTTATTATTTAACGCGAATAAAACTGTTACACGTAAAAAAAATATTTTTTACGCGTGTAAAACTATTTGTTACTGGTAGAAAACAATTTTTTACGCGTATAAAACTATTTGTTACTGGTAAAAAACAATTTTTTACGCGTATAAAACTATTTGTTACACGTAAAAACTATTTTTACGCGTCAGAAACTTATTGTTTCTGGTAGAAAACCTTTCTTACGCAAAAAAAATGTTTACGTGTAAAAAACTATTTGTTACACGTAAAAAATTATTTTTTTACGCGTCAAAAACTTATTGGTAGAAAACCTTTCTTACGCAAAAAAAAATATTTTTTACGTGTAAAAAACTATTTGTTACACGTAAAAAACTAATTGTTACGTGTCAAAAACTTATTGTTTCTAGTAAAGAACTCTTTTACCCAAAAAAATATTTTTTTAGTATAAAAAAACTCTTTGTTACACGTAAAAAAGTATTTTTTACGCGTCTAAAACGTTTAAAAAAACTTTTTTACGTAGAAAAAATACACTTTTTACGCATAAAAAACTATTTTTTACGCGTAAGAAAATATTCCTTTAATTTATTACTTTTTCAACATTTCAAACTACACTTTTTCAAACATTTCCTTCAAATTTTTGAATTTAATAAAATCTTCCTAAACAGTAGACTTTATAAAAATATTTTTAGATAATAATATACATACTACCGTATGATCGAAAAAAAAACGGCGTCCAGTTGGCTGGGAACATCGATGACATTTCCCATATAAATTTACATATAAAATGACAGCGATCTTCATTCCATAGCCATCGCTGACGCCGTTTTTTCTCGATCATACGGTATTTAATTTATTTTTATTGTATTATTAAATATAACGTCCGCCTATGACGGGGTCTCATCTTAGAAAACGCTAAAGACGCTACAGAAAACAAACTGATTTGTTTTCATTTGCGTTTTTTGCGAGACACGCCGAACGCTACACGCTTTTGGTGTGGCCACCCCTATATAATCCTGTTATTTTATTTTAGTCGCTAAAGACGCTTCACGCTAAAAACGCAAAAAACGCTTTCTGTGTGGCCGTGGGCTTAGACTTTTTATTGCTATAAGACTTGCTTGAACAAAAAATGTTTTTTGTCCTAGCTAAACGCCAAAATTGATCTTTGGAAGACAAAGAGAAACAGAAAAAGCTTAACGAGAGAGTGACAACACATTCTAAGCCCAGCTACTCCAAAAAGAACAGAATTGGAGACATTTATTACTATCAGTGTTTATGTTACAGTAAAAGTCGGAAATCAGTGATTGTTAACAAATACTAGTAAAAGCTCATATTCACTGATTTGCTAAGACTACGCCAGTAAAAGTTCAACAGATATTTTTGAAATCAGCTTTTACTAGTGAATACTAGCATTCCCTGGAGCTTGCTCTTTAATATGTCGTTTACTATGCTCTCTGGAACAGCATGCGGCCCGGCTGGCTGCCGGTATGCGTTGCATTTCCTACTGCGCAATGAAAGAAAATCCTATATTTTTTATTAGCTCTTTAAATTCTAGTATTGAATATAAACCGAGCGAGTCTATATAAATAGCGCAGCGCGTGGAGGTTCCGCCTATCAAGCGAGGAGTCAAGAGTTCGAGACCGGGTCGGGATACAAACTGTTTTATTTTATTTTCGTTTATATTCTGATAGCAAAGTATTAAATAATTCTAGTGATTCACAAAAAACAAATATTTAATACTTCACTATCAGAATATAAACGAAAATAAAATAAAAAAGTTTTTTCCCTGACCCGCTCTCGAACTCTGAATCCTCGGTTCGTAGTCGGAAACTCTACGCGCTGCGCTATGGAGACTTGTTCATTTTATATTCAGTACTAGAATTTAACGGACTAAATAAAAAAAATATAGGATCTTCTTCCGATACGCAGTAGTGAATGCAACGGGTATCGGCAGCCAGATGGGCCGCATGCTGTTCCAGAGAGCATAGTAAAAGATATATCAAAAGGCCAGCTTTCTTAAATACTTTCTCGAAAAAGTTGCTAGCTCTAAGACTATACATACCGATAGATGTCGGTACGTACGGCCAATGAGCGTAGTGTTAATTGTCGTTGTCATAGTTTTAGCTGTCATCAATAGGACATATAGCAAATTTGTATCGACGGCTATCGGTATATCTACCCATAGATAAATGCAACAAGTTTAGATTGGAAAGCCCGTAAAAATTTTGGGTCGCGACCGTTATGCGCGATCTGGCGCTGTTATAGCGGTCGCTAAGAACAACGGCAAACAAAAACAGAAATAATTTTCTCTTGTCAAAGTCAGAATCTTCAAAAATCATAAAATCTTTCAAAATCTAAACCGCTCTCATTAAATAAATTCCGAAAAATGTTTATAACGTCCATTTTCAAAGTAATTATTGCTATCTTGTGAGTTTAATTCAAGTTTTATTTACTCCAACTGGTGATAATTGTGAAAAAGTGGCATTAAAAACTTAAAAAGCTGTGCTGTGAACTGTGAACTGCAAAAATATTCGGATCGTGGCATAACGTCGGTTTCCAATGTTTCATAGGTATTTCATACATATCCTTATATAAAATTAAGTTTCTTGTATGCAACACACTGTATTTTATTTATAAAATTAAAAGCAAATAATAATAAATTTGAATAAACAATATTTGGCGATATAATTCCGGAAAAAGCCGAACCGCTCCGAAATTTTCAAAAGTTTTGGGTCGCGACCGTTGCAAGAATAGCGCCAAATAGTGTTTACATTGTCCTTATGGGCACTTTCCAATCTAAACTTGTTTTATTTATCTATGTCTCTACCGTGGGGTTAACAAAGGCACGGTAGTGATACCGATCCTCGTCGGTACAAATTTGCGATATCTGCCCTATGACCGATCGATATCTATGACAACAACAATTAACACATTTTTACTATATAAAAAACTATCGTAACTTACCGTTACCGACGATTGTTGATGCCGTGTACAGAATAGCGCCTCTGGGCGCACCTTAAGGTAAGGTTAATAATTAAAACATCCCCCTGATTTAACCGATTTATGTAAAACAAAATTTCAAACATGTCTTTCTTGCAGAATAATTAGTCAATGAAATAAATAATTAAGCAACAATGGTTTTACCGTTTATTTGATTAATTCCCGATAAATTCACGGTTTTGTTGCACACGTATCGCCATTAGAAAGTCTCCAATTAGTCGGAAAGTCTAAAATAACTTAAAAATGAAATTATCTGCATTTTATTCCACTTTTACTATGAAAAACTAATTTATATGTATAATATCATAAATACATCAGTATATACTAAGAAAATATCTGCGCATGACTTTATTGCAAAACATTTTCTATTTTTTGTTAAATTAAGTCAATATATATAAAAATCCGTCACTATCGAAAAAAGAAAGAAATAATCCGTCGAATCATGCCCAGATCTTTTTACCATGTACGGTCATTTTAATTATTTTTTAATTTTTTTCTCTATACATTTTCATCACCATTTAGTTTAGATGACAAATAAAAAACAGTCTTAAAGTAAATGGCTAAATAGAACCTTTGTAAATAAAATTTACAAAATTAAAATAAATATCGTAAAATAGTTATTTCCTCCTAAAAAAATATAATATATATACATAAAATGAACGTACATTTTTGAAGTGGTTTTTAGTAGAGAGGGAAGCAAGAAAGCTGCCGGGACGCGGCCATTTTCTTTTTAAAACTCGATTATTTTTCTGAGCAACGTTACTTTACACCCCGGCAAATCAAAACTTGAACCCGTCGTTCGGAACGTTTGTGTTCGGGTCGAAATTGAACTCGTTGTCGCCCGCTGTAGGCGCTAAATTTGCATCGTCCTCAGCCTGTAATAAAAAAAAACAGTTTTAAACAATACGGTATGTGCTAAAAAATTCAAAAAAAAAACTAGAAAAATTGTGGCATTCATTTGTAAAATCCGGCAATAGTACATCGGGCATCTGTAGCTCCGAAAATAAAAAACTTAGAACTTAGGAATTTTGTTTAAGCACAGAATATCTAGCTACGCAACAGAAAAATACTCGAAATGAAAGAGCTAAAATTGCACAAATAGAATACTAGATGGCGCGACAATGTCATAATCAGAATATAATTAGAAATTTTGAACTTTCGGTTTTGGATCGACGACTCGGCTGTAGCTCGGCTAAATATGCACAGTTGCCAGATTCAAAAAGACTTGAATTGGCATCCCATTCTTTTTATTGTGTATAATGCAGTATGTATTTCTTTCTATTCTTCTTTCCTTGTTAGATACACTTATCTTAATTATTCCTTTGGCTATTAAAACAGTTTTAAGTATATTATTACAAAACATATACATTTTTAATATACACTATACCTTATAATGTTAAGTAAGAAAATACCTTTAATTACTTTTAAAATTAATAATATACAGGGCGATTGATAGTGATATTTATTAATGCTGGAACGTTAGTAATGAAATATAAGTTTAATAATAATGGAAATAATTTATTAAAATGCAGTACAAAAAATGTTAACTGACTAAAAAATACTATAATAACAAATTTCTTCCGTTTGCCACGTTATTTATATAGACCTAGGTAGATTTTAAAAAGTGACACGGCTACAATTAATAATATATTAGTTCGGCATAAAATTAAAATTCGTAAAATAAATTAAAATTATTAATTAAACAAATCTTTATAAAGAAACGCAAGTATACCAAATTTGGGCCCAATCGAACTCCAGGAAATGATATCATAATAGTGTACTATATTATGGTACCACTCGATATACTTTAAGGTACCATAATATTGCAATGTCACCGAAGATCCGTAGTATACAAAATTTAAGAACAATCGAACGCCATGAAATGGTATCGTAATATGGTACTATATTAAGGTACCACTTTATATACATCATAGTACCATCATATTACAATGTCACCGAAAATACGTAGTATCCCAAGTTTAAGCCCAATCGAACGCCATGTACGTAATATAGTACTATATTATGGTACCAGTTGATATGCTTCATGGTACCATAATAATGCAATGTCATCAAAAATACGCAAGTATATATCAAATATGAGCTCAATCGAACGCCAGGAAATGGTATTGAAATATGGTACTATATTAAGGTACCATTTTATATGCATCATAGTACCATCATATTACAATGTAACCGAAGATACGTAGTATAACAAGTTTAAGCCTAATCGAACGCCAGGAAATGGTATCGTAATATGGTACTATATTATGGTACCTCTTATTATGCCCCATGGTACCATAATATTACAATATCACCGAAGATACGTAGTATCCAAAATTTAAGCCCAATCGAAGCCATGTACATAATATGGTACTATATTATAGTACCAGATTATATGCATCATAGTACCATCATATTACAATGTCACCGAAAATACGTAGTATACCAAGTTTAAGCCCTATTGCCGCCATGTACCTAATATTGCTATGTCATCAAATATGGTACTATAGAAGGTACCACTTTATATGCTTCATGGTACCATGATATTACAATGTCACTGAAGATACAGTATACCAAGTTTAAGCCCAATCGAACGCCATGTATCGTAATATAGTACTATATTATGGTATCACTTGATATTCTCGACTCAAAAGATAACAACAGAGTACAAAAAATCCAGAACTCTTGCGTAAGATTGATCTGCGGAATAAGAAGAAGACAAAGAGTGTCACATAAACTTAGAGAACTTAATTGGCTTAACATGTCCGAACGTCGTCTTTTGCACTCGGTATGTTTTTTCTATAAAATTCTGAAACATAAATGCCCACCTTATCTTTACAACAAATTACAATTTCGTACAGATGTGCATAACCTAAATATCCGCAGACAACATCTTCTAACCATACCCGCTCATAAAAAGAATTCTTTAAAAAGTCATTTTCCTACCAAATTGCTACGTCAATAAATAAGTTCACAATTACTGATTTTCGAGGTCTGTCCTGTCTTTCAAAAGAAAAATTAAGAATCAACTGCTCCCGGAATGAATTGATATAATTTTTAAGTTTTTTTAATCCTCTTGTGCTATTTTAAGTAGAAAGTTCTAAGTTTATTAAAGATTGATGCTTTTTGTGTCGTAATAATACTTTTTGTACGGTCTTTTTTTAGTTTTGTATGATATTGATTTGTGCAAAATTATATTATTATTGCCTTTTGTTTGGTAATATTGTTGTATATTTTTTTTTTTCGTGGCCTCAACAGCACCTTCGACTTTGAAGGAAGCTGACTGTGCCTTTTGTTCCAATTGTTAAAATAATTTATATATTATGTATTTTGTATGTGATTTGGAACAATAAACCTTTTTTATTATTATTATTATTATATGCTTCTGAAAAAAACGGCGTCCAGTTGGCTTGAGAAGGACGATCGATGACATTTCCCATATAAATTTACATATAAAATGACAGCGATATTCATTTCATAGCTATCGCTAACGCCGTTTTTTCCCGATTATACGATATGAACTTGTAATGAATACAATCGAACGTCAGGAAGGGGTAGAACTATAATAATAGTTCTGTAGAACAATCCTTATTATATTGTCGCCGAATTACAATGAAAATTCAGGATTTAATTATACAATCAAACGTCAGGAAGTAATTGTAATTTAGCTCATAACATTTAATTCCAACTAACATGGCAAACTGAAAAAAACAGCTCTGATCTATTTTAATATGTTTAAATGATGTAGCAAATTTGAAGGTAGGCTTTATCAGGAAGTATTACGATATGAATTACACAATGGCAACACTGCACAAAATTCTTTTAAATTTTGTTTGTAGAAAACTGTTTTCTTTTAAATTTATTGCCCTCTATTATGTAGTAGCGAAACTACCACATCAAAATATCTGATTTGGAGACAGGCTTTTAAAGCCTGTCTCCTTTTGCTTCCTACAATTTTATACATGTAACGAGGCTTCTGTTGCGTAGCTAGATATTCTGTGGTTTAAGTGTAAACCACGGGGGTGTCACTTGTATGGGCAAACAGGCAACAGTCAAATTTAAACGTGCCAGGACCAACGACAAAGAAAGCAACATCTGCCAGGCATTGGCTTTCTTTGTCACTCACATTGCTTAAATCATGATACCGCGGCCATTTTGCCAACAAATAAGCTGGCCGAGCTGTCCTGGCAAGTGATTTAAAACAATTTTGCTTTTTTACAATATTAAATTACCATTTGGATGTATTTAATGCGATTATTCAGTTAACTGGTAAGTCAGAAATTACACACAAATACTTTATTCGTAAATACAACTAAGATGTAAACGTAGTTTTGTATTTTTAGATTTCAACTTTTGCAAAGACCCGCCATAGAACTTGCCTGGCAGCGTACCTGTTTAATTAAACGTATTATTTCCTGATAATAATATCAAAACACGTAAGTACCTCTATAATTTATGATGAAAAATGATTTTGATTATGTTTTATATTATTTAAATACTTTATAACCTCAAATAATAGTAAGATCCTTGTTTATATCGCACAGCCCGTTCAAAACTGTATTGTCTTCAAAAAATGTTTACAGAACAAACAATTATTACAAAAACAATGTCCTTTTAATCTGATTTATACCTCAGAAGGATGCCAGTTAAATTTTTATTAAATCAACATTACATTATTTGGCCATTAATATGCAAAAAGGAGCATATTGCGTTAACTTAAATTTTCTTTTACTTCTCCTGACAATGTTCTCTATATTCTCTATTTTGAGTTAGTAAACTTTTGAACGGGATGTGCGATATATAAAATACATAATATATCCAAGGGCATGATCTGATAAAAGTATTTTTTGATGCATTTTTTGGTTGTTTATGCACATTGGCTTGGTTTATGTTTTATTCAGCTTATATTTATTTGGTATAACAGTTTTTTTTGCCTTTGGAATGGCATGCATTGAGGCTAGATAGTGTTTCATTAGACCATTAAAGAAATTTAAATTAGCATATATTTTTTGTGATGTTAGTGTGTTATCATGATACAGGTAGTTGTATCATAGTGCCTTATGCATGTTATTTACCTATTATATACTTATGTATTATCAGTAAATAGATGATAATATACTACTAAAATGTCTTTTTAATAGTATGTTTATCTTTCCAATTCACTAGTTATTTGCAAAATGTATTTTGAACTAATTTAAGTCATTAATTGATCATCTTTCTTTTTCAGGTTCCGGGATATTCTTTTTCATTGTTAAAAAAATATATATATTTCAATATTATTGTAATATAAATCGCAGCTCTAACAAATAAATGATATTGTTTACTATAATAATGTGTAATTTATTTACTATGAATTTTCTCTGAAAATAATAAGTCTTTAATAATATCATTGATTTGCTGCGTAAAGTTAATAGACATATTTTTTAATACATTAAATTATATTATAGTAATAAAAAATATGTTTATTAACTTTAAACAGTAAGTCAGTGATACTTATAAAAATATTTTTTTTTAAATTTCCCCTCTTTTAAGCCCCGCCCCTCCAATTCCCCTCAATTTAGCTAGTACTGCCAGGCGACACCAGATGGCGTCTGTTTCCATTTTTTAGCATGAAGTTAGCATTTCTTTAATGTACCTATTCTCTGGTGTAAACCTAAACTATGTACAGGGTGTCCCACTAAGAATAGCTCTCGGCTGTATCTCGGAAAGTATTAGTTGTAGAGCTTGCGGAAACAAATATTTATAACTAATGAGACCATAAGAAATTGCAAGAAATTATTTTCAAGTTTGTAAGACGGCCGCTAGAGGGCGTAACTGCTATGGAAAATAACAAAATGGAATTTTTAAGAAATTTTGACTAGATACGATGTACTATAAATAATAGCTTCATAATCTTCAGTAAATTTTGGATCTTTTTTGTTAGAACCATTTTCCCCTATCTGCTAAAATAAAGTGGTGGGGGGAGGTTAGATCTATTTTTATTTAAATATTAATAACTCCGGACTGGATGATCGGAATCCAACAAGAGAGGGCTCGTTTAAAAGAGCGTTTCTTACTATATATTGTACCATATAAACAATAATAATAAGCTTTTGAACGTAGACGCTAGGGGGCGTTGTCTTACAATTTAAGAGTAATAAAAGCTGAACAAGTCAGCAAAAACCGCATCTTGATATCTTTTTTCAACCCAAAGTTATTAGCAAAATTATAACAAATACGAAAATATAAGCCCTTAATTACCTTATTTTTCTAACACGGTATCACTAGCCCTCTTGATTATGACCATTCTAATAAAAAATAATATAAAAAAGATTATTTTATTCAAAATATCGACAATGAACCAGAAAACCATAATACTAGGTGTATTAATATCTAATAATTAAGATACCAATAACGGTGGACAAGAAACCTCAGTGAAATCATGGTAGGCTTTGGGAAAAAGTTGCTTTTAAACGGATAGTTTAAACATCAAAATATTATTGTTACGGATTCCATGGGTCCACATGGTAATTTAAACTCACGATAAAATACTTAACGATTTTATTTGTCTCACTCTGTACACACGACTTATACTATTTACAAACACAATTTATGCAACTACTATTATTCTAACGGTACTGGCACCTTCGCCAATTAATTCACAACTGCCAAAGCGCGGGACTTTATATACCCCCTGGCGAGTGTTTCTGGAACGTTCTAAAGAATTCTGTAATTTTCTTTTACTTTCTGGCGAATTCGCCAGGTTACTCAATGCACATTGCGGTTATGTAGCAGTAATGCAGTTATGCAACCAGTAATACAGTTTAACGCTACATACACCTTGACATTATTATATCAACATTTTGAGAGTCTCAGCAGCATTTTTTTTTATCTTTTGATTGTTTTTCTAAAAATGCCTTTCTTCAACAGAGAAAAAACGCTGCTAAGTCTATCAAAATGTTGATCTAATAACACTTTGACGTTTATACTATTACGTCAAAAGCAACTTTTTTCCAAAGCCTACCATGACTTGACTGAGACGTCGTTTCTTATTAACTGTCATTGATATCTTAATTATTAAATATTAATAGATTTGGTGTTATGGTATTCTGGTATGTTGACGATTTTAGAATAATCTAATCATTTCTATCTTATTTTTTTGGCAGAATGTTCATAATCAAGAGGGCTAGTAATACCGTGTTAGAACAATAAGGTAATTAAGGGCTTATATTTTCGTATTTACTATAATTTTGCTAATAACTTTGGGTTGAAAAAAGATATCAAGATGCGGTTTTCGCTGACTTGTTCAGCTTTTATTACTATTTACTATCAGCTAAAATTACATATACTATCGCATTTATTTTTTTTTGAAAAAACGCGCAATGTTTGTTAAATTTTAAGACAACTCTCCCTAGCGTCTACATTCTTATTAAAAAAAGAGCTTATTATTATTGTTTATATGGTACAATATAGAGTAAGAAACGCTCTTTTAAACGAGCCCTCGTAGTAACTATAGGAGCACTACTGAGAGCCTAAGGTTTCATCCTTGAGAAAATGTTATGTCTGATTGCTCTGGGATCTTGGACTAATTGTTCAAAATTCAAAAGTGTCCGTTTGTGTGTCATGTTTTCAGACGTTCTCTAAACTTGAAACACATTTTGAAATAAAGATTATTATTAAGTTATAGTCTGTCCAGCGAGAGAAGACTTGGATATATGTCGTTCAAAAATTGACAAAGCCGACTAGATTTTTTTACTAATATACTTACATCACCACTGAAGTACTGTTCAATTATATCATAAGCCAATTTATAAATTTCAATATTTTCGTGATTCTGGAGAGCCTCGATTTTGTCCAGTCCATTGCACTCTTCTATCATGGTGCATAAATGTTCCACTTCAGGTCCTGCCATTTTTAACATATTATTTATTCCGTCCAACACAACCTATATTATACAAGATCAAAAGTTTTATGTTGTAAATTTATCAATAATAATATTAAGAAATATTATACCTGAATCACTGTAGGGTCCTTGCAATTCAGTAAATCACAGAATGGTGGTATAGCTCCTTCTTGCAACAGTCTAGCTACTTGTTCCCTTGTACCTCCAATAGTTAAATTGGAAATTGCCCAAGCAGCTTCTTTTTGTGTTTGGAAATCCCCTTTACTGAGATTATATATAATGTTAGGTAAAAGACCTAGAAATAGAAAAATAAATGTGCACACTTGATCAATCACAGATACATTAAATATATATAAAAGCCACAGTAAGCCCCAGCTCCTTTAAAGTACCATGCGATTGAAAAAAGAACGGCTGGAGAATGACAAACGATGATAATTTTGACAAGGTCAAGCCATGTATACAGGGTGGTCCGAACTATATTCCGGAAACTTCGCCAGCATATTCTGCAGATAAAAATAAGTAAAAAAGTTTGTTTAAATGTATGTCCTAAAATGCTTATAGTCCAAGAGCTAGCAACGTTTTCGAGAAAGTATTTTAAGACGTCTGGCTCTTTGATATATCTTTTACTATGCTCTCTGGAACAGCATGCGGCCCGTCTCTACGCACTGCGCTATGGATACATGTTCGATTTATATTCAATACTAGAATTTAAAGCACTAATAAAAATATAGGATCTTCTTTCAATGCGCAGTAGGGAACGCAACGTTTACCGGCAGCCAGACGGGCCGCATGCTGTTCTAGAGAGCATAGTAAAAGATGTATCAAAGAGCCAGACGTCATAAAATACTTGTTTTTCCGACGTTGCTAGCTCTCGTACTATTAGTTTCGGTGATACAGGGTGTAGAAGTTTCATTTTTTTCCATTTTTTTCAAATAATTTCTGAAGTAAGGTCAATATTTGGATGAAAATTGGTGTCGGGGAGTTTTTTGATATGATAAATTTGATTTTGATCTTAATATGATTCCTACGTGTAGAGGGCGCCACCTACATATTTTTTAACGTTGGTTTGGAGAGTAATAACTTTTCGTCCGTACCTGTATAAAACTACTGAGTAAAAAAATATACATTTACGACGTCTTTTACGTAAAAAAGGTCTCTTGGTAAAAATGTGTGTTAATACAAAACAAACAAGAACAAGACACTACATACCAAAAAAATATAAAAAAGAACTATTATTTACTTTCAAGCTTTATGAAACTACCCGCATTTATGATTATATTTATCAATATAACTTATGTACAAATACAAATTTGTAATATTCCACAGGAATAATTAAAACAACATAGGTAAATAAAACAAACTATTTTATTAATAATAACACCTACCAAATTTTATACCTTAAAGGTTGATTAATTAACTTTAATCTTAATTTTTTTAAACCAGTACCTTTTGACATTATTTTTCTGCAGTACTAAAATCCATTATTTGCCTTTCGTGTGATGTCGATATTTTACAGCTACTCTCCAGTTTTTAGTATGTGTTTAGTTTGATCCTTCTACCTTATACGAGATGCACTTATCTACGACGAAATGGTATACAAACTTTATCGATGGCAACTGCATTGGTGTATAAGACTTTCTGCCTGGGCAACGAGTATTAACCATAAACTGTGCTCTGGGTCTACAGTTAATTTTCACTCGATTTTTCCCTCCACTTGACTTCAAAAGACACAAAACACTCGTAATAATACGAATCAAAATGCATCATCTTCCAAAACGCAGGGTATTTAACAAAAGTTGACACAAAATTATAACCTATAATTTGGCAAGACTTTGACAAGCGTCAAAAATGACAAAAATCTAAAGGCGAGTTCATACGCATCGGCGTCCGTTTGTCGTTCATCGTTCCGTCAAACCAATAAAATTGAAATACGAAAAATCTGTCATTTTTTAAATAAACCAATAAAACTGGTTAAAAAAACAAGACACGACGCATGACGGATTTATATTTAAACCCATCCATAGATAACTTAAAAATTAATAAATAGATTGGTATGGGACGTCATCTGCTTTTCTTCTGTCATCGTCTGTCGAAATCTTACCTGAGAAAAAAAACAGAGTATATACAGTTTCTTTCACAATATTTTGAAGTAATCACTCGTCAGTCAAATTTTAAATATATTAATTTCCTGCTATGCGTTCCAGTTGTACCAACTTATTTCTTTGTAAAATAAAATAAACTACTTTGAAATTAAAATGACAGACACATCTATCACTATCAAGGATCTTCTCGTTGGACAGACTATAACTATCTACTCAACGTGTGTAGTTTTCGTCAATAATGACATGTATTGACTATTTCCATTGTAAATATCTTGAGAACGGTTGCTAGTAGCGATTTTTACCAAGAACACTTTTTATGCAAAAAGTCACGGAAATGTATATTTTTTCACTCAGTAATTTTATACAGGTACGAACAAAAAGTTATTACTTTTCAAAACAGTTAAAACACATGTAGGTGGCGTCCCCTACAAATAAAAGTCATATTGACATCAAAATCAAACTTCTCATGTCAAAAAATTGCCAGACACCAATTTTCATTCAAATATTGACGTTACTTCAGCAATTATTTGAAAAAATCGAAATAAAAATGAAACTTTTACACCCTGTATATCCGAATCTAAGCGTTGTAGGACATACATAGTTTAAAAACACTAAATCACCACAATACACCAAAATACTTTTACTTTTACACTGGACGCGCGTTTCGCTAACCATGTTAGCATCATCAGCAGATGATTATAAACTATTTTATTATTTGAGTTTATAATCATCTGCTGATGATGCTAACATGGTTAGCGAAACGCGCACCAGTGTAAAAGTAAAAGTATTTTGGTGTATTGTGGTGATTTAGTGTTTTTATTTTGCTGTGTAACACCAAAGGTTCCAACCCTCAACTGTAATACATAGATTGATACATTTATACGAACTTTTTTACATATTTTTATCGGAAAAATATACTGCCGAAGTTTCCAGAATACAGTTCGGACCACCCTGTATATTGTAGAATATTACTCTGAAGCAGGATCAAAAGTGTCAGACACTTTCCATGGACCAGAACTTTTATAAGACGGTTTAAAGCTCCACAAGCAATAAATGAACTTTACTTATTTTTACATTCAATTATATTCACAATTCTTACCTGCATTGATTACAGCTTGAACCTGGTTTTGATTGCCAGCGGTTATATTGGACAGGAACCAAACAGCTTCTTTACATATTTTTTCCTTCGCATGGGTGAGTAATGCTGGGAAATGGGATAGAGCATCACAATTTAGTACAGCCTAAAACGACCTTTAAATTTATTTATCTCTAAATAAATAGACAAGAAATCATGCCTGCGTCTGTTCGTCGGTCCCTGTAACAATATTTCCTACTGCCCTAAGAGCTGCCGTTTGAACCTTAACTTCTTTATGACTCAATAAAGGTATTAGTTTTGGAACGATTCCGCTATCGATAACCATCTGAATCTGGTCATTGCCTCCATCAGTCAAGTAGCTAAGAGCCCAAACAGTGTCCACAAGGATCTGCAATATGATTTAGAAATGTTTTCTAATACAAAATAATATACCGGGTGCGTCTCAAAAGTGGCTCACCCCAATATTTTTTTTATTTTTTTCAGATAAAAAAAGAGATTTGGTATGCTAGTATACGACATAAATTAGGATTGATTGTCGTCTTCAATTGTTTTTGGTCACTTCCCGTTTCACCGGAAATGACAACTTTTGATATTTAAATGGCACCCTCGGTATATTTTCGATAAAAAATTCGATAAAAAATTACACTCTGTCGTATCGTCAAAAAATCGTATTTTAAATTTCAATCTAGAGTGCCATGGCTGTATTAAAAACACTAATTTTTAATCAAGGAGCCTTGGAAAAATAGATCTGATCATCTAATGTTTTTCGTGTCTTGTCCTGGCTGGTTAAAAGATGTATTTTTAATCAAATCTCAATTTTTTCAAATGGAACGAGTATGGCTCATTAGCATATTTGGAAAAAGCATTTTTTACGAATAATTTGGTATAACTTGGTATTTCGAGTCAAATTGTCGTTATGAACTGCATGTTGCTATTTCAAATAAACTATATTCGAAAATGGCAAAATTTAGTTGACATATGATATGTCATTCTATTCAGAATATCCTTTTCTATTGAATCAAGTAACAAAAATCGAATAATTATGTATTATTTTTTATATATTTTGAGACTGAATTTATTTATTTTAGCTATTTAAGTTATTTTTCAATGGTTTCATTATTTATTTTTACTGAATAAACATTTATTAAAATACAACCAATGCACAGCATAACTTGTATTCTAGCTTCATTACTGATGATGAGCAGTGAAGTCTTTAGTATAACGGGGGCCACGGGCCTGAGACAGTGAAGGGGCCCCTCGGATCTTGGAGGATCGCGATATTTTCGTCGTGGTATTTCCCTGAAAGCATTTTTAAGAAAAAAATATTTAAAATTTCTGGACGAAAAAAACTACCTGTCAAAAAAATTTGTACAGCCTAGAAGTCAAATTTAGTGATTATCACAGCCCCTGTGACATAAAGAAAAGACATGTGGCTATCTATTTCAAAAATTAAATTGTTCAAATGTCATATAATAATGGCGGTAGCTGTCATGGAATTGAGCGATTAAAAAATTATCATAATTTTTTTTTTCAAATGGAACCCACTTTTTTTTATTTCACTAGTGAAAAGGTTTTCCAATTCGTTACGTTTTAACTAGACATATTCCTATACCTAAAATAAATCGTTTTTAAGTTATTTAAGATTTAGTTTGAAAACGTATATTTTTCTTGATTTTATCTAGCTTCCTTTGACATTAAGTGTCAAACAGTCAGACAATTTATTTCCATCTGTCAGAAAATGAATTATTTGAATTTCCCTTTGAATAAGAAGACTAAAGCCCCGTTCTCAGAACAGCGATTGTCGCCAGCTATACGTCAAAAGAACCAATGAGATTTGTACAAAATTCAAACAGCTGTCAATTTTAAATTTAGTACAGCTCCCGTTGGTTGTTTGAAATGTCAAACTGTGTCGCCAGCGACACGACGTCGTTCTGAGAACGGAGCTTAAGGAAGGAGCATATCAAAAATCTTAGGTACACCGCGATGGGCCTCAAATATGGCCGACTTAAATTCCGGTTTATCAGTGCCGTTCTAATTTTATTTAAAAAATGTAAAACTATGATGTAGGGTAGACGTGGGGTAGACTCAATAATTTGTTATTTTATTTTGCGTTGTGAATAAATGTTGGTAGTTATTAAAATTGTTATAAAAATATATAATTCTAATAAAAATAGATAAGTTATAATAAGTATTTATTAACACAAACATCCGGTACGCTACTGAAGCAGGTAAGTCAAATAACGTATCGAAATTCTTTGACATCTGATCTTTGACAAGTAGTAAATAAAAGCTAAAATGAAAGAAAATATATAATTTAGTTAATTTAAGTGAATTTCATAAATGATTGGTTTACTACACGTATGTATATTATATAGTCACTTACTAGCGAAAAGTTGTTCCATTATTTCACTCAATTTTTGCCGAGATCTACCGCACGCTACACAACCAACTATTTTAGAGTCTTTTTCGATAAATCGCGATAATGTCACTGTTAATTTAAGTTCTGCCACAATTTCCATCTAGATTTACTACCTTTATACAACTATCAGTAGTAGAATAAATAATAAATAACATAAAATAAGCTCTGTAAAGACTGACAAATCCACAAAATTTCAAATCAAATTCAAATGTGACAAATGAATCGTCAAACAGAACTGTCAAGGATCACCACCCTAGAGTGCTTTTTCCGCCCACCATGCATGAATACATGGATAGCATTATGCTCCTTCCTTAGTCTTCTTATTCAAAGGAATTTCCTATATTATAACTACTGCTGCTTAAAAGTTTAAAAAGTGTATTTATATAGATATATCTCCGTATTTTCGTTCTTTAGTGATATCTAATAGTTGATATTTTAATAATATACCGTACGATCGAAAAAAAAACAGCGCAAAGTTAGCTTGGAAATGATGATTGATAATATACTGTCATAGGCATAGGCTAGTGGTTAAAATCAAGAAAAAAATACGCTTTAAAGTTAAATCTTAAATAATTTAAAATCGATTTATTTTAGGTACAGGAACATGTATAGTCAAAAAGTAACATATTTTAAAAACGAAAGTAACGAAAGCATTTTCACGAGTGAAATAAAAAAAAGTGGATTACCATTTGAAAAAAAATAATTTATGATAAATTTTCAATCGCTCAATTCCATGACAGCTGCGGCCATTATTATATTACGTTCGGACAATTTAATTTTTGACAGGAAGTGACCAAAAACAATTGAATACGTCAATCAATCCTAATTTATGTCATATACTAACATACCAAATCTCGTTTTTTATCTGAACACAAAAAAAAATTATAGGCGCCACTTTCGAGGCGCGCCCAGAATACAGGGTTACACAGCGTGAAAAAAAACTCCTTTCGTTTGAGTTTCTCATTCCATTTTATAAAACGTAGGCAATAGTGCAATGTGCAATCATTTTAATATATTTTTTTACTATACAGGGTGATGCAAACATATTTTCAAAGTAATATCGTATATTTTTAAATAAAATACTAAATATTTTTTACCCAAGTGGATTTGCCATGGTCCTAATGTCATATTCTAGACCAAGTGGTACTCGAAATAACTATTTTTAGTCAATGTCTCTTTCAAGCTCTCTTTTCAAAACTAGATTATTAAAACACACTACATTCCGTGATATAGATACCTAAGTCTCTAGTTATAATTATAACAACCGCTCTTTAAAAAGGAACAGTGTATTTTATGACATAAATGACTCTATTTTATCCAATTTTTGTTTTGATAAATAATTTTTGTATTCAAAATATTTAGTTTATCCACCAAATTCCCTTTTTCTAATCATTTCCGGCTGCATCATTACAATAAGACCCCGTTCACACTGGACGATTTATATTCTACACGACGATCATCATATACAGGGTTGTTCACCACATACGACACGGAGTATTGTAGCTAAACGATTAGATTTTTACAAATTTTAAGTTTTGGGTTCGATGAAGGACTATTAGAGGTACAATTTAAAAATAATTTGACAAGATACAGAGTGTCCCAAATAAGTAAAAAATATCAAAGTTGTATTTTTTTAAATGGAACACCCTGTATATTATTACATTTTTAGTTTCTACGATTAAAATAAAGGTAAATTTGATTAAGGTTTATTATACTTAAACCTTACCGTTTTTTAAATATTCAATTTTGGGAAATTTTGGGAAATTGCAGTAAAAATTTCAAGGCTTCATTTCTCCAAGGGTATCAAAGTTTTTAATACTAAATATTTACTCAAGTTTATTTATTGATCAGTTATTGTGTTGCAATAATAAAAATAATACTACCTTATACAGAGTGTCTAAAAATTTATTTTAAATAATTTCTAGCTTTAAACGCCAATAACTTCTTTAATTTAAATGGAACGTCCTGTATATTTTAGGAGAATCAGAAGCACAATTTTATTGTCTATCAAATTGTATTATACCATTTTTTACCTATCCCTTCAAGTTTTCGTAGAAAATGCATTTTCTTATAATTTAGACCCTATTTATCAATATACCCATGGAATATTGACATTTTAGATTGTTTTTAAAGCAACAAATATACAAAATGTACAGGCTAGTAATATTATCGTTTTTAGCAAAACGATAATATTACTAGCCTATTTGTATGCAAAAAGAAAACTATTTAAATCTTTATAAAAGAGTATACCATTAATTAAATATAATACCATTATTTCCGCCCATATACTAATTAATTAGATACTTAATTGTGTTCGTTAATAAATTATTCTAAATAAATGTGGATTTGAGTCAGAAATCAATATAATAATAAGTTATCAAAATTAAAGTCTCTGTTGTTATAAATAAGTATTTATTAAAAAATGAAATATCATTTTTAAGGTGTTTCTTCACATTATCACACTGTCTAATACCCATACAAAATTCAGTTTTTTAGTATTTGGAGCAATTATTATTAATCAACGCAAACAGTCAGTTAATGTAGTTTGAATACTGGAATCATATTAATTGGTCCCCTTTAACAAATATTTAAACAGTTTTTTTATTTTTTAATAAAATAAACAAATTATATGGACAATATTAATATCTGTACTCTTTAAAAATTTGGTACATCTTTAAAAATAATCTAAAATGTCAATATTCCATGGGTATATTGATAAATAAGTTCTAAATTACAAGAAAATGCATTTTCTACGGAAACTTAAAGAGATAGGTAAAAAATGGTATAATATAATTTGATAGACAATTAAATTGTGCATCTGATTCTCGTAAAATATACAAGGTGTTCCGTTTAAATTAAACAAGTTATTGCCGTTTGAAGCTAATAATTATTTAAAATAAATTTTTAGGCACTCTGTATAAGGTAGTATTATTTTTATTATTGCAACAAAATAACTGATCAATAAATAAACTTCAGTAAATATTTAGTATTAAAAACTTTGATACCCTTGGAGAAATGAAGCCTTAAAATTTTTACTGCAATTTCACAAAATTGAAAATATTTCAAAAACGGTAAGGTTTAAGTTAACAATTTGTAAAAATCTCATCGTTTAGCTACAATACTCCGTGTCGTATGTGGTGAACAACCCTGTATAAAGGAAATAAATTGAGATTGAAATGACCGTAAAAATTTTGGGTCGCGAAATTGTTTTGGGTCGCGACCGTTGTACGCGATCTGGCGCTGCTATAGCGGTTACTAAATGGTTGCTAAGAACAACCGCAAACAACAAAAATAATTTTCTCTTGCCCATATCTGTTGTCAAAGTCAAAATCTTCAAAAATTATAAAATCTTTCAAAATCTAAACCGCTCTTATTGAAAAAATTCCAAAAAGTGTTTGAAGCGTCCATTTTCAAATTTTATTGCTATCTTGTGAGTTTAATTTAAGTTTTATTTACCCAAACCCGTGATAATTGTGAAAAAGTGGCATTAAAAAGTTAAAAAGCTGTGCTGTGAACTGTGAACTGCAAAAACCATCATGAATCGTGGCATAACGTCGGTTTCCAATGTTTCATAGGTATTTCATACATGCCGTTATATAAAATAAAGTTTCTTGTATGCAACACACTGTATTCTATTTATAAAATTAAAAGAAAATAATAATACATCTGAATAAATAATATTTTGGGATATAATTCTGGAAAAAGCCGAACCGCTCGGAAATTTTCAAAAGCTTTGGGTTGCGACCGTTACACAGTGGTTCCCAGATAGGTCATTACTTAGAAACATTAATTTCAAAATGTTTGCATGAAAATGTTGCTAATACTTTTCTTATATTCCCCTGTAAACGATACCTAATAAATAACAAAATCAAGTAAGCCTAATGTAGCGCTTTTTTTTATTAGAAATGTCACATTTTTGCTACTGGTATCAAGCTGACATAAACAGTTTTCAGATAACGCCAGTTAATTACTTATTTTATTAAAATTGATAAAAGCTGTTGCCTTTTCGGTAATGGACGTTCGAAAAGGTAAAAAGGACTGTTTTTTCTTTTTTGCACTTAATTAAACCTAAGTAATATCATAGTTTATGGCAATTTATTTGAAGGTAACAAAAATAGTCTTTTTACATTTTTGCTCGTCACTCTTTAAGACTTTTAACTACTTTCCCTTTCAAATCCTCTTAAACGGCATGAAAATACTTGCTGCTTAAAGTATATTGCATATAAATTAATTGCCACCGGCTCACAGTGGGGTATTTGACACTGATAGTTGATCGAAATTTTTTTATGTAGACCTTATATAAATTATTGCTACTTTCAATTAAAGAGGAAATAATATGAACAAAATAAAGGATAATTCGTCGATTCTAAAAAAAGAAAGAAAAATCACTGTTCCAGTGTTTCCACGGTCAGTGCCAATAGTAATATCGCAACTACTACTACTAATGCTACGACTGATCCGCGAGCAATGCCCATACCACTAAAGTCGCTACTAATGCCAAATTGTGCTATACTGCTAATGGCACTAATGCGATCGCTTTGTACACAACAATGCCATCGCGGTTTACACCTCGCATTAGTATATCACTGATTGGCAAATTAGAGGAAACCAAGAATGTTTTTCTCATTTTATCAGCAAAATCGCAAAAAGTCGCAGTATTTTATTTTACTGTATGAAAGCCCAACGTTTACTAAGTAAAACGTATATAGACAATATGCTGAATTCTTCGAAATGCGCAACTAAATCTCTAAGTATAATAAAAATGTCACAAATTTAATCAAATTTTCTGAACGCCTAACTTTTAGTTGCAAAAAAAAATCGTTAGAATAGAGAATATCAAAATAAATAATACGTTTTTGTAGAATACATACCTGCAGCTTGCTGAGCCATTTTCAATCAAAACAATAATATAAACGTAAAAAGAGCACAAGAACAACAACAATTTATAATTTTAAACATAAAATTTGGCCATTTACCTCTTATCTGTGAGAAGTAACAACTTTGACGTTTCTTTGAAACAAATGAATGCAACTAAACACACCCATAGCAACGCCATTTATGGCAGACATGATTTAACTTATCATTTATCTTTTTTTGGAAAATCTTAAACACATTTGCTTTTTCGAATTTCGATCACCTTTTTCATGCTAATACCCCACCGTGCGGCTGCCGCGAATTGCCGCCGGATCTTATACCGGGTGGTTAAAGATTGACTTTTTATCTTAAAATAAAAGTAACTTATTTTTTCCTCTTCTTGTGGACTTATTTCGTGGACACACTGTATATCAATTGACAATAAAATTGTATTTACAAAATGACAACTGTCTCTTTTATTTTTTCAACATTTAAAGTAAATTTGACCTCTTCAATATGAAAAAACATGTACATATGTGCAAACATAATCTGTATACCTTTCCGAATAGTTAGAACTTAAAATGGAAATTACACGAACTGAGCCCAATTTTTTTAATACATATTAAACTAAAGCGCTAAAACTAAAACCAAAGCTGAACGCGCGCTAAAAACGGCGAGCGTCGTACTGACCATTTTTTTATTTATACTCGTTATTACTGCTAGCATAAACTGATCAATCTAAATTTTGAATATGTTGTAACTAAACGTATAACTAATTAAATGACAGTATTAATAACTGTCAGTTTTAAATTTTATAACAGAGAATTTTATCTCAAAGCTATAATATGTTTGGGTAATATAAAAAAATAGAAAATATAAAAAATAATAGTTATTTTGGCTTGTCGAAAGGGCTAAAGACTCATAAGTATTTCTATGTAAAAATCAGTACTATACGAGATAAGAAATTCATATTTCTCTTTTTAATTCATCAATCATGTCTCATCAATGATATTTACAATTTATAAATTTTTTCAAACATTGACACCAGCAAAATATTCCCATAAATTTTGTTAATGCTAATGCCAAAAAATTTGTGAATATTTGTAAATTTCAATATTCCTTACGTCATTAGTAAAAACTTATAAGGAGATTTTTTTTCAAAGCTGAGTTATCTTGTATTCACTTACATTAGTATCTGTATGATGTATTAGAGCACTTAATGAGGGAAGTAACTCATCAATTGTATGTATCGGTGGTGGGGGATCCTTATTTCTACATAGATTTACAATGACCCAAGTGACATTTCTTAAAAATGATATGGGAATCTCTGGCTTAACAAAAGATAAAAGCGGTTGAACAATTCCCAATTCAATAACGTAATCTCTAAGGACTGGCCCATCTCCAATTATATTTCCTAAAGCCCAAACTGCTTGCTCACTGACATTCTGGTGTGGAGAATGCAGAAGTAAGAGAAATAAGGGAACAGCTCCTGCCCCTACAACTTGATTGGTTTGAGCTGAGGTTCCGGAAGCAATATTAGTTAATGCCCAAGCAGCTTCAAACTGCAAAGGTGGATTATCGTGACGTTCCAAACATTTTACTAGAATGGGTAAAATTCCTGCTTGAATGAGAGCATCAATTGGTGGGTTCTTTTCAGATGACAGTAACTTTCGAGCTGACTGAACTGCCATTAACTGTAAACTGGGATCATCTGAATTTTCAGCCTGTGCAACGACAAGCTGTAAATTAATATTCGATAGTGACTTATCAACATCATCCTCGTCAGTTGAATCCACAACGGGAACGTTACGTCGTTTCTGTAGGGTTTCTTCCCGTTTATTTTTTCTAAGTTCGACTGTAACTTCATTTCGCCTCCTTCGCATTTCCTAAAAAATAATGATTCTAAAAAATGTATTCAGTTCAGCCTAGCAAATATGCCAAATATTAGAGTGAATAACATATGAATTCGAAAGTTTGATAGTCTATAAAATAGCTACAAGTATGTACAACGCAAAAACGTTTTATTGAAGCCTTACATCTTGATCTTTTCCTTTGTTCTTGAAATTTTGTATGCGACTCTTGAATGTAGGATCCGCCATTTTTATCAAATTTGACAATTTAAAACACGAGGATATTTAAGCCGGTGGGTGATTCTAATGATTAACAAAATGTTCTCAAAAACGTAAACTTAACGTTTTAATATCACAACACCATGATTATTCCTTTTCTATTTTCAAGGAAGTCTCGGTAAATTTCTAATTATGCACCTTTATGAAGTTATTAAATTTTTGGTAACTTTTGTGACATTTCCCCCGACGTTTGCAGCACTGATATAGACATAAAATCAATTCCCTAGAAATTCAAAATTTTAACATTTATTAGATAAAAATTCAATAAATATTCCTTTTTACAAAAAGTTATAATTTGATCTCTAAAAAAAATACGTTTATTTTTTGCTTGACTCTGTGTCCTAATAATAATATTTTTTTATAAGCAAGTAATTAAATATATTAAAAAGTGAATTTAAAAAACCGCGCTAGTTAAATTTTAGTTCTACTAAAGCGCCACCTCTCGTATCGTTATTAAACCTTTTTAGGCAGAAGTATTGTTGTCTGCTGAAAAGGTGTTGAAAATAAAATCCAACAGGGAAAAGTAGAAAATAATTAGTTTATTAATTAAATGTGCATTTCCTCGTTTTACATATGCATTATTTAGGAATATGTCTAGCTTGAAAACTGGTAAGTAAACATTTATATTTATAACAACACAAATAGTTTATGTATATTTAGAATTGGTCCCACCCCCAGAAGAGAATTTGCTTATGGATATGTCCCACCCTGTTTCGTTCTATAATTTCAATTTTATCTCAACAATAATTTATTTCCACTTATATTCTTTATTTCTGAGTATTATTATAAAACAGTAGGGAAGAAAAATGATCAGTAATATAGGGATACTAAATGTAGTAGGTAGGTATGCTGATTTCACTCTGAATCAAAACATTCTAAAAAATTATGTAGAAGTTATATCAGAATTGTTTATCTAGATTATAGCTTTATACATAATAAATTGTATATTGTTTTTATTTAGTAAGTTTTTGAGAGATACTTCTTTCCAATAGGCACCTACTATTGAATTATTCATTACTATAAACATTATAAATTTGTTGAATGCTAAACAATTTTGAACCTTTTAAATTGTTTTTTAAACAAGTCAGATTATTTTGGTTGGAGTTCAAAGATACTAATAGCAATTTGTTTTATCTCTCATTGATGTGTAATATATAATCAGCTTCTAAAATATGTAGGTTGACTTCATGGGTTATATGTATAGAAAATATACATTTTTGGTGTAATTTAGATTTAACGAAGTGTAATTATATTTTAATAGTGTTTACAATAAGTTTTTAAAGACTATACAAAGACACTGATGTGTAAGTGATGATCAGAAAAGTTATTGAAACAATTTTTTTCATAATATCAGATTTTTGGAAAGAAATCAACAAAATAAAGTGATTCAGTTTTGTAATTTAGCTTATTTATACCTGTTTATTTACCTTTTATTTGTTTTTTTTATTTATCTCTTAAGGTTTTTCTTTTGTTTGATATTACATATTATTGAGCATGGCAATAAAGTTAGGAAATTTGTTGTAGAATAGAAGCATGTATGTCTGCTAGAAGTACATAAGTAGTAGTGTGCGTTGTGGTCATGTTGGAAACTAGATCTATGCGAGGAATGCCAGATCCTTCTTGGCAAACCAGTAGTAATTACGGATCAAAAATTTCACATCAGATGGCTGGCCTGAACATTCGATATGGTATGTATTTCCAAACGATTCATAAGTGTATGTTATCTTATCAAATATTACTTTAGTATTTTGAGATTTGTTGATATTATTTAAAAAAATAGTTATAATTTTACTGATTAAGTGATGGAGTAGTTATCGAACTTTATTTTCAAAGTGCATGCTTTTTTTAAAGGAAAAACCTTTAAGATACCAGATAAGGTATTCAAACTTATATAATTATTTTTAAGGCAAAGCTGGTCAGGATGATGTTTGTTATGTTGTGGCCAAGTACGATTACGAACATCAGGGGCCTCAAGAGTTAGATTTGCGTAAAAACGAACGTTACGTTCTTCTCGACGATTCGAAACATTGGTGGAAAGTGCAGAATTCGCGAAACCAGGCTGGCTACGTTCCTAGCAACTATGTAAAGAAAGAAAAACCTTCTCTATTTGATAGTATCAAAAAGAAGGTAGGAACCAGTATTGCGGTATGTGTTGCTTTTGTCTTGTTTATAGTATATAATAAAGTCTGCCCACACATTGAGAGGGGGTGATTTTCACAGACAACATCCAAAAAATGACAGAATACTATGATACTACTTGAAATGAAATGACAGACTTCTCTCTTTGGATAGGCTTATACTAGTTATGTATTTGTATTTTGCATTTAGCAAATTTAAGTCATTTTTTGTAAACTCACATAGAACATCTGACATGGAGCTTTTTTAGAACACTGTATAGAGATTCACCTCATTTGACACGGAGTATTGTAGCCACATGATTAGGTTTTCAGAAATTGTGATTAGTGGAATCATTGCAGGACTACTAAAGCTTTAATTTAAAATTATTTTCAAAAGGTACAGAGTGTCCCAAATAAATAAAAAATATCAAAGTTATTTTTTTTTAAACGGAATACCCTGTGTATTATTACCGCACTTTAATCTTACGGTTATATATTTATGTTTTTGTGAAAATACAGTAACAACTATTTTAGTGCTCTACTTCTCTAGGCGTATTTAAGTTTTTAAAACCAAATATTGTCAAAAACCTCTACGAAACATCTTTCAGTTATTCGGTCTCAAAGATCTATATATAAAGATCTGTATCTCCAAAACTAAGCCTTTTAGGACATACATTTATACGAACTTTTTTACCTATTTTTATCTGCAGAATATGCTGCTGAAGTTTCCGGGAACAGTTCGTACCACCCTGTATATTTAAGATATAGTTTCTAAACTTTTTCTTAGCGACACATTTACATACAATACAGTTTGTCTAGATATAGAGTAGTTCTTTAGAAACTTCTGTTGCAAGTTCAGTCAGGGGTTTCCCGCGATGGTAGCAGAATGCATTGCAAACGTGTTCTTTTCAGGTGAAGAAAGGTTCAGGATCGAAAACGCTTCCTTCGAATAATTCGCCGTCTAGAACAGTAGAATCTCCGAACATGGCGCGAAGAGCGGCAGCCGATCCTTCGGAAGCCATAGGAATTGCGGTCGTCAAATACAACTACCAAGCTCAGCAGCCCGATGAATTGTCTTTAGTGAAAGGTTCTAGGATTTTAATATTGGAAAAGAGCAACGACGGTAAGTGATTTTTCGTGGAATTTTAGTTTTGCCATTAGTTGAATGTAAAAAAGTATTTTCAAACAAATGAGACTAGATTCGCGTTCTTAATATTGTGTTAAATATCAAAATATTTACAAAGCAAATCAAAATTGAAATCTACAATACTTCAAAAATCTCATTCTCTGACAAAAAAAAATAGTTAGGTGATGTGTCGATGGTATCATTATTTTAATAAGAAACAATTTTTGGTGATTATTATACTAAACTATGCTGTCAGATACTTATGTAAATATTACCATTTCTGTATATCATTATTGTATATTGTATTTTTGTGAATATTGCATTGTTTGAAATAATATTGTAATATCTGTTTATATAATTTCAAGGATGAATAAAGATATTATTATTATTATTATAAGTTACTTATTAAGAAACATTGCATAAAAAGACTAAAGGAGTCAAATAATATTTTTATTTTCATATATTTTAAAGAAATGCCATGTTAGCTTTTCATGTTCGTAATGGTACACACATTTTTTGGTTTTATTTGACTTTTTCTTCGGATCTAGACCTAGAGGAACTAAATAAAAGACTAGTTTACGTACGGATCGGTCAGCACGATCGATGCTAGGCAGGAGTGGGGAGTGCCAGCTGTATGTTATCGGATCCGGACCTAAAGGAACTAGAGGAACTAAGTAAAAGACTAGCGCGTTTGATGCTAGGCAGGCGTGTGGAGTGCCAGCCGTATGTTGTCGGATCCGGACCTAAAGGAACTAGAGGAACTAAGTAAAAGACTAGCGCGATTGATGCTAGGCTGGCGTGGGGAGTGGCAGCCGTATGTTATCGGATCCGGACCTAAAGGCACTAGAGGAACTAAGTAAAAGACTAGAGCGCGATTGATGCTAGGCAGGCGTGGGGAGTGCCAGCCGTATGTTATTGGATCCGGACCTAAAGGAACTAGAGGAACTAAGTAAAAGACTAGCGCGATTGATGCTAGGCAGGCGTGTGGAGTGCCAGCCGTATGTTGTCGGATCCGGACCTAAAGGAACTAGAGGAACTAAGTAAAAGACTAGCGCGATTGATGCTAGGCAGGCGTGGGGAGTGCCAGCCGTATGTTATCGCATCCGGACCTAAAGGAACTAGAGGAACTAAGTAAAAGACTAGCGCGATTGATGCTAGGCATGCGTGGGGAGTGCCAGCCGTATGTTATCGGATCCGGACCTAAAGGAACTAGAGGAACTAAGTAAAAGACTAGCGCGATTGATGCTAGGCTGGCGTGGGGAGTGGCAGCCGTATGTTATCGGATCCGGACCTAAAGGCACTAGAGGAACTAAGTAAAAGACTAGAGCGCGATTGATGCTAGGCAGGCGTGGGGAGTGCCAGCCGTATGTTATTGGATCCGGACCTAAAGGAACTAGAGGAACTAAGTAAAAGACTAGCGCGATTGATGCTAGGCAGGCGTGTGGAGTGCCAGCCGTATGTTGTCGGATCCGGACCTAAAGGAACTAGAGGAACTAAGTAAAAGACTAGCGCGATTGATGCTAGGCAGGCGTAGGGAGTGCCAGCCGTATGTTATCGGATCCGGACCTAAAGGAACTAGAGGAACTAAGTAAAAGACTAGCGCGATTGGTGCTAGGCAGGCGTGGGGAGTGCCAGCCGTATGTTATCGGATCCGGACCTAAAGGAACTAGAGGAACTAAGTAAAAGACTAGCGCGATTGATGCTAGGCAGGCGTGGGGAGTGCCAGCCGTATGTTATCGGATCCGGACCTAAAGGAACTAGAGGAACTAAGTAAAAGACTAGCGCGATTGATGCTAGGCAGGCGTGGGGAGTGCCAGCCGTATGTTATCGGATCCGGACCTAAAGGAACTAGAGGAACTAAGTAAGAGACTAGCGCGATTGATGCTAGGCAGGCGTGGGGAGTGCCAGCCGTATGTTATCGGATCCGGGCCTAAAGGAACTAGAGGAACTAAGTAAAAGACTAGCGCGATTGGTGCTAGGTAGGCGTGGGAAGTGCCAGCCGTATGTTATCGGATCCGGACCTAAAGGAACTAGAGGAACTAAGTAAGAGACTAGCGCGATTGATGCTAGGCAGGCGTGGGGAGTGCCAATCTTATGTTATCGGATCCGGACCTAAAGGAACTAGAGGAACTAAGTAAAAGACTAGCGCGATTGATGCTAGGCAGGCGTGGGGAGTGCCAGCCGTATGTTATCGGATCCGGACCTAAAGGAACTAAGTAAAAGACTAGCGCGATTGATGCTAGGCAGGCGTGGGGAGTGCCAGCCGTATGTTATCGCATCCGGACCTAAAGGAACTAGAGGAACTAAGTAAAAGACTAGCGCGATTGATGCTAGGCATGCGTGGGGAGTGCCAGCCGTATGTTATCGGATCCGGACCTAAAGGAACTAGAGGAACTAAGTAAAAGACTAGCGCGATTGATGCTAGGCAGGCGTGGGGAGTGCCAGCCGTATGTTATCGGATCCGGACCTAGAGGAACTAATTAAAAGACTAGTTCACGGGAATCTATTCGGCCGGCAGATCCGAGATATAATACAAGGCGACGACGATGGATTCGACCTTGTCTATTGCCATAGCCGGCGTAATTACCACAGAAAATTGTCGTGGGTACTGTTTTTGATTTTTAGTTTATTCTTTAAATATTTTATGGATATGTTCCACTTTAGGTCCCTAAAATTAAGAAATATCTTATAAAACCCGAAGTAGATATTCTGAATTTTTATACAAAAACAAAAAGCTTGAAGTGAGGAAAAATGCAATTTTTCGTAAAATTTTCTTAATATTTGCTCCAATTGATTTATGATATAGTTTTTTAAACTCTGATTTGAGTTTCTGTTTGAATTTTTTTTATCTGCAATAAACTTACCTATATATTTTTAACATACACAATTACACGTCTCGTTATATTTCGTACATTATAAAAATTATACAGATCATACTGTGAATAGTTCTCACTGACAACGAAACTCATTAGCAAACAACGGGGATGTCAATGTTAGTCGGGAACTATTGGGAACTAAACACCTAATTCAAGGAACTATTCCTCTGGAGGAACTAGAACTAAGGAACTAGTTCCACCCAAGGAACTAGAATTCCCACCTCTAGTACGCATTCGGGTATTTTTGATATGCTACTGCAACTTTTCTTGCACTTGCAGATTACACATCCAGATCAATAATTTCTGAACTTGTGTGCTACTTCTGGTTATTTTCAGTTCGTTAATACGTTAAATACCAAGTAGAAATAACCAAAACGAAGACTTTACTCAATATAATACAAAACTAATTTTTGAGTGTAATAACATTTCTAAATTATCTATATTTAATCACGAAACAAATTTCTCTCGGCTGTAATGTTAAAAAATTCTCATAACCGTGAAATTAAAAAAAAAATATTCTATTTACATATTTATTATCTACTTTAAACTTCAAGTAATAGGATTACTTGTTTACCTTACTGATTAAAATCAGTAGCGGTAAAATGCAATATCCTATCAATCAATTTCGCTATTTTTATTGACACATCTTGTTCCCAATCAGTCAAGGTAGGTGCTGAATGCACAACTTCAATTAACAAGGCGTATTGCGTATTGATTAATAAAAAAGAGTATACTGTACCATTATATTTTCATTCTGTTCGTTGTTTCCTTTTCTCTTTGTAATATTTTCAAAGGGCAACTGGCATGATGCAAAGAAAACATGGACAACAGGCTATGCATAGAAGACGTGTATGAAATTTAATAAAGATAATTATAACAACCTCAGAGTTATTGTGAAAAATAATAATGTTTTTTTTTTTAATTTTACCACCCTGTATCTCAAAAGTTAAGATGTTTAGGATATACATTCATATGAACTTTTTTTTGAAAGAATATGACATTAATGAAAATTAATAATAACCAAAATAATAACCAAATAATAACTATCTATCGTAGATAAATGAAACAAGTTTAGATTGGAAAGTGCCCATAAGGAAAATGTAAACATTATTTGGCGCTATTTTTGCAACGGTCGCGATCCAAAGCTTTTGAAAATTTCGTAGCGGTTCGGCTTTTTCCGGAATTATATCGCCAAATATTATTTATTCAAATTTATTATTTTCTTTTAATTTTATAAATAAAATACAGTGTGTTGCATACAAGAAACTTTATATAAGAGCATGTATGAAATACCTATGAAACATTGGAAACCGACGTTATGCCACGATCCACGATGGTTTTTGCAGTTCACAGCACAGCTTTTTAAGTTTTTAATGCCACATTTTCACAATTATCACGGGTTTGAGTAAATAAAACGTAAATTAAACTCACAAGATAGCAATAATTACTTTGAAAATGGATGCTTCAAACACTTTTGGGAATTTTTTCAACGAGAGCGGTTTAGATTTTGAAACATTTTATTATTCTTGAAGATTTTGACTTTGACAAGAGAAAATTATTTCTGTTTTTGTTTGGGATTGTTCTTAGCAACCGCTATAGCAGCGCCAGATCGCGTACAACGGTCGCGACCCAAAACAATTTCGCGAGCCAAAAAATTTGACGGGCATTCCAATCTTTTATTTCCTTTATCTATGCTATCTATCAAAGAATGAAATCGAATTGATATTACCATAGAAACGCCTTTTGATTTTTAGGACTAGGAAAAAATTCAACACTATTTTCATGTTTTTCTTAACCATAGATAAATGAAACAAGTTTAGATTGGAAAGTGCCCATAAGGACAATGTAAACACTATTTGGCGCTATTCATGCAACGGTCGCGACCCAAAACTTTTGAAAATTTCGGAGCGGTTCGGCTTTTTCCGGAATTATATCGCCAAATATTGTTTATTCAAATTTATTATTATTTTCGTTATATACTATAAATAAAATACAGTGTGTTGCATACAAGAAACTTTATTTTATATAAGGACGCATGTATGAAATACCTATGAAACATTGGAAACCGACGTTATGCCACGATCCACGATGGTTTTTGCAGTTCACAGTTCACAGCACAGGTTTTTAAGTTTTTAATGCCACTTTTTCACAATTATCACCGGTTGGAGTAAATAAAACTTGAATTAAACTCACAAAGTAGCAATAATTACTTTGAAAATGGACGCTATAAACACTTTTCGGTATTTCTTTAATGAGAGCGGTTTAGATTTTGAAGAGATTTATGATTTTTGAAGATTCTGACTTTGACAAAAGAAAATTATTTCTGTTTTTGGTTGCCGTTGTTCTTAGCGACCGCTATAGCAGCGCCAGATCGCGTATAACGGTCGCGACCCAAAATAATTTCGCGACCTAAAATTTTTACGGGCTTTCCAATCTAAACTTGTTGCATTTATCTATGTTCTTAACTCTCTCTGAAACGGTATGGAAAAGTATAAACGGGGGTTAACCGTTTTAGGACAAGCAGAAATTTTTAGAAAGAATACATTTTGCTCAAAATGTAAATAATAAAAGTTTTTCTTCTTGTAAAGACTATCCGGGGACATACTGTATAGTTTGTTTTTCTAGACAATATTAGAAACATTTATTTAAAATATAACAATCCTGATTTTAATCTACTGAAAATTTGGGTAGGCTGGTGGAGGGGTCAAAGCAGCAACATCACTGGTTGGTTTCCCTCCAATTATACGCAGGAAGAAGGCGATCTGGACGACACCATGCATACCTATGCCATGGCCGAAAACGTCTTGGACATCGTCGTAGCTCTATATTCGTTCTCTTCGTCCAACGAACAGGAATTGTCGTTTGAAAAAGGAGATAGGTTAGAGATTTTAGATAGGCCGCCGAGCGATCCAGAGTGGTAAGTTTATAGTCTTGTTACCAAACAAACACTATACACTCTGTTGTATAGTTCTTATCACATCTATTAGATTGCCCGTCAGACAAATAATATACATAAATAAACCTTTCTTGACTTCGATACTATCTTTTAGATATGTCTATGTTGTTTACCCCCGGTGTTTTCAGGTACGGATAGCGTGTTATAATCTGCCAGATATATTTTATTTGACGGATAGCAGAAAAACGCGTATCTTCACGTATAGATAACAGTATCTATTAGATAAATTAAACTTATCTCCAAGATATCCTATCTGGCGCCCGAACTGCCAAATAGTGCTTTATTTGTCGGATAAAAATTTGACGCATGAGCAAAGCCATGAGGAGATATTGATTTTATTTGATATTTGACAAAATTGCTTAACATAACCAAGACATTGTTATTATTGAAGATTTCGTTTATTCCAATAAATTCGATTTTAGATTATTTGGAAAAGACTTACCTATTCTGAGTATGTAGGCTATAATCATTTTAGAACCTATGGGGTATAAACACCAATAAACACATTGAAATGGTGCAAAAAACTATTGTTGCTAGTGCCGGACTTTATAAGGACTGTTACAAAATAAAGAGAGTCTCTGTTCTGTTAGAGCATCAGAACGAAGAGAATGCATTAAGTTAGGATAATAGTGATCAAACAGTAATTTATAAATTATTTTATTTAAATCCTTTCAATTACAAACCATTACTATATATTATATAAAATGCTAATGTTTATCTGTGTCGTCTCTACTGAAGTAACGACTTGCTCTAGAAAGTTGCTTTTTTTACTAAAAGATAGCTAAATGGCTCTTCTAAAAACTGTCGTCGCCGGATTTTTTGTTTTTCATTTAATTAAAAAAAAATAAAAAGTATTTTTTTCCTGATCTCGTGACGGATGCGCCAGGCTTCAACTAGTTTTTAATAAAGCTCTAAAGTGGGTAAAAAATAAATAAAACTTTTTAAATCAAACTATTTATTTCATTTTTAATTCGCATATCTTAATTCATTAATATTATAACAGGAACCTTATAAAACCTTCAACTCACATTTGCTTTTATTTCTTTTGTGTTACAATTTTAGTTTAATTTCTTGCACTATGTACCTTATACAGTATGATCGAAAAAAAAAACGGCGTCCAGTTGGCTGGGAAATGATGATCGATGATATTTCCCATATAAATTTACATATGAAATGGCAGCAATCTTTATTTCATAGCCATTGCTGACGCCGTTTTTTTCGATCATACGGTACATCTCTTCTCCATGCTGTTTTTTAAGTAACTCTCTAGCTAAAACTTGCTAAAACATCTGTATTGTGGTCCTTTGATTTCCAGTTAGTTCAACTTTGTTTAGACAAGATTTTTCCTTTATTTTTTCTTTTTTTTTTTTTGAAGTTCCATCACTTTGAGTTCTTAAAAATAAAAGTAATATGACAAAATTGTTTTTATTTAATTTTTTTTATTAAATAATTTGTACATATAATGTGTAAATGTAACAATTATTATAGGTACTATTCATTTATTATTATTAAGACAAAAGTATAAGTGCATTTATCTATCTATCTTTATCTATATTTTATAAAATAAAAACTCACCTTAATTACTATCATTGATGCTATCCTACCTATTTCTTTACTATGAAAAGCCCTGGAACAACATATTTGTTATTACTAACAGTCTTATGCTATTTTTAATTTTCAATATTAATAACTTACCAGATGGTGGGTTTAGAATTGGTTTATAAATCTCTGCTTGCACTTCACCAGCTTCTTCCATTATCAATTGTACTAAAATGTTAATATAATAAATATAACAGTAATATCATGTAATTAAACTATAAATTACTTACAGATTATTTTTTCTTGTTTTAATTTCTTATAAATCGCATTCCATCAATATATCTATTGCACCACCACCACTGCTGAAATTGAATTATCTTTCCCTTTTTCCATAAAGGTAAATTTAAATAGCCTATACCATAATAGGACTAGTTGGAGTTGAACACAAAATATATTTTAGTTGAATTTTATTGTTTTTATTTTCATTTTGACAATCTTTTGACAACTGAACAATAACCTCACTTTTTAATCTAACGATTTGAAATTCCGAGTTTTTGTCTCTGTCTGTTGTATCGACTTTTCATATAATATAACCATCTCAATTTCAGATATCTTATATTGGCAACACTTTCTCTACGGAGTGTCTACCGGTCCGTAGGCGGCCATCCTCCAAATTGTTATTTATTGGATTATTTTGTATGAAAATACCCAAATGTTATATCCTATAGATATCAGGCTCTAGATTGTTTATCTTTTAGATGGTTATTTGTTAGATAAAAGTTATTTATTTATAACTGAAGAGACCGCGCCTTAGTGTTTACCATTGTATAGTTCAGTCTTATCTTGAACGCTGATAAATAGCCATTATAATATTTTTTTATAAACTATAATATTCCCCAGGTATAAAGCTAGAAATTCTCAAGGACAAGTAGGTTTGGTTCCGAGAAACTATTTACAAGAACTATCGGACTATATGGATCGGCCTTACCAAGAGAGGAACAAACAAGAACTCATGGATTCCTCGATGGTCAGTTCTCAAGTATCACAGGTATATTTGAGAATTTTTTTTTCTGAAATTATTTTGATTCGCTGCAACTTATTTTGTAGGCCTCAATGATGGATAAACCGCATCTGGTGGACAAGCCTTGGTACTACGGAACCATTTCAAGAAACGTTTGTGATAATTTATTAAATCAATTTGGACACGACGGTGACTTTTTAATTCGTGACAGCGAGACAAATGTAAGTGAATATTAGTTATATTTATGTTTATGAAGTTATGCAGAACGCAACAGTGATAAAACCCATGGAAAAAACTTATTAAACAACAAAAATCTTTAACAATCCAGTGCCTCTTTCAAAAACAAATATTTATATGACTGATCAATAATCCATTTTTTCCATTATCGCAAGTTGAAAAATTTTCAGACTACCCTCGTAAATAAAAGTGTTTTTTTTTACGTTATTAGGCGTATGTTTTTTAACTCTATAATAAATATAGTACAAATCTTTTAGAAGTTCCTCAATATGGCCGACCTAGTTACAAAAATTGGTAATTTTTTTTAATGAAAAATAAGTTGGCGTTGCCGAATTCAGAACTTTATTTACTCTTTGGTTAACAACAACATTTTTCAGGGTTGTTAAGTTGACGTTAAAGTTAGGTTATTTAGCACAGTTATTAGGTAGTTGTCATAAATAAAAACATAGATTAATGAAATTATTTAAATAAGAATAAAGGAATTTTACCGCAGATCGGAAGAGATTTTACTTAACGGTATTTTATAAACTTTCTCAGTGAAAATATTAACTCCCCTGTTTCTTATATCGCAGTTAAAGGGACGTCAGTACTATAGGAAGTGAATTTTTGTTTTCCTGTTTTGACGATATTCGGAGAGTTCCTAGAATTGTCAAGATTATTGAATAATTATAGTTGTCTAATAAGAGAAATTAATAGAAGACTTGGAGATAGGATGATGGGTTTCATGTTATAGTTGATGGATCACCCCATTTCTCTTAATTTATGTTTTTATTTCGGTACAGTTAATCACAAATTGAATTGATATGTGTGCAAAAACATTTATATATTTTTAATAAATATAAATCTTATTTAAATAGTTCTTTTATATACTGTTAAACTGAATCAACTACAAAGTCTTTAGCAAAAAGTTATAAGGTAATAAATGTTGTAGATATAATTTATGAAAATTTATATATAAAGATTGGAACACAATCCTCTGAGGAAAAAAGAAATACTCAAAAACTCATTAAATATACTTTATTAAAAAATAACAACATACAAAAATAGTCATCCATGCAAACTGTAATAATCAGAACATTATCCACATTATACCTTTATTAAATTTGTGTTCACACTCCTGTCAGGAAAGCCAGAAATGTTTGTTTAAATATTAACTTATTTTAAATTGCCACAAACACATCAGAATATGTCACAACCACAACTATAGGTTTGGAATCAGTACTAAATTTTAAACCTAGTAAGTGATGCGTCAACTAACAAGTATATGATAAAAAAGAATTATTAATATAGAGTGTGCTATATGATGTACTTCTACTAATTTATGAAGTGACTTTCCTTTCAAATGTGAGGAATACCGGTAAAATAAAACATAATTTTTGGTTTGGTTTGGTGTTTGATTTTCTAACTACATCTATTACAAACCTTAAGTGTTTTTAGTGAGTAACTGTATTTCCTGTTATTCTTTGTATATCCTGTAAAGTAAAAAAAAATATATATTTCAAAAATATAAAAACAATGCAATAGATATCAAACAGATTCATAAAAAGTACTTACAATAATAATTATTGTAAGTTGGTTAGGTTAATTATTGTACATATTATATATTTCAAGTGTTATTTCATTTTTGGTCCCATTACCAACATTACCTTCTTGAGGTCTCTACTAACTCAACTTTTAAACCTTCTTTATTTTAAAACTGATTTACAACAATCTGTAATGCCCGCGATGTTTCCTGAAATGTAAGTTTTAATCTATTTATTATCATATACATATTACAAACCTGAAAATTACTGTTACGAGGAAACTTCCCAAAATAAATAGAGACCTTTTTACAAACATCTGGACTAATTTATTTTCACGAATTTGTGGACGAGTCAATGTTTTCTAATACATTTTTAAGCGTTTTATACATTTTGAATATCTTCCAGGCTATTCCTCAGTTCTTGATCGGTAAAAAGATTATTGATAACTATAATTAGTACTGCAGGTTAAATAAAAGAACAAAATCAAGTAGAATCTGTGAACAGAAACTCAAAAAATACTGAAAATATTTAGAAAAAAGGGCCGTAAACGTCAACGTCAATGTCAGCCAATTGTCAGAGTTCAATTAGATTTACCACAGATTATCAATTTGAACGATTTGAACTACACTCGATTCCAGTCCAGATATTTTCGTTTTTTAAGCCTCCCATACTGAAGTCCGCCATATTGGGAAGTTTTAAAAGATTACAAGTATATATTCTGTTTGTCGTGGCAGTTACTGTTTGACAGAGAGAAACAATAGTGCCACCACCACTCTGGTGATTAGACAATCATAGTTACATTTCTTCCAGGTTGGTGATTATTCAGTGTCATTAAAAGCGCCAGGCCGGAACAAACACTTCAGGGTGCACGTAGAGGGCGCCCTGTACTGTATAGGACAACGAAAATTCCACACCCTCGACCAACTGGTCGACCATTACCAGAGGGCGCCCATCTACACCAACAAGCAGGGCGAAAAACTTTATCTCGTGCGGCCTCTGCCCAAAACAAAATAGGAAACAAGTTATAAATTTAATATATTTTGTGTGAGTGTTTTTTTACATTGCAAGTGGCTTTAGTATATACATATATTTATAGATGAATTGCTAATAAGGGAAATGCCAGGAGGAGAGAGGTAACAGTGTGTTAATCGGTTGGTGCGGCCCTATATTGGTCTTAGAGAATTTTATTATAATTTTTTTATAACCTTAAAAGTATCTTACTGTTATCACCGACGTTAAACCTACTATAATATTATAAATTGGCGCTTATCAATTTATTCCCCTGGACCCAAGAACGGTAAACTAATAGGATTGCTCATCCTCACAAGACGTACGTTCGCCTCTTCCCGCGCTTCAGCTGACAGTTGTGACGTCATTGTAGTCCTTGTCATGATAATGTGTATTATTAGTTGCCTATGGTAAACTTATAAAAATAACAGCTGAGAAATTTTGAGTTAATTATTTTGTCAATTTTAAATGCGAAAAAGGCGTTTTTAAAGTTTTTAGAGCTATAGAGTGTATAAATACGTTCATTTTGTGTTGTGGATTGTGACAAAGTGCTTACTAAGTGCCTACGATATTGTTTATTAATTATTTTAAAGCAAAATATGGAAGCACTCTAAAAAGAATGCTTGCAAAAGGTGATGCTGGGAACTGCTGTTCTTAAAAATGCATTATCAGAATATTTAATACGATTTATACAGTTAATTTTCTATACTGCATACATATAAGGTGTTTAAATAAATAAACGAAATAATGAACGTTTTGAATCCGGCAACCAATAATGCACGTGTGTGTATTATTGGTTGCCGGATAAGACTACAATGACGTCACAAGGCGAGGAGTTTTCGCATGCACTTGGCGGACACTTTTGGCCGAATGAGCAGTCCTATTAGGTTAACTGTTCTTGCCCTGGACCCTTCTTATTCTCTTATCAAGGTCTGTAAGAAGGTTAGTATTTAGAGGCAGAGAAAGTATGTTGTGTTTTTTGTCTGGCACCATATAGTGACGCACCACCTGGTTAAGTTAAAAGAGCACAATTGGTTTTTGTTAAGTGCAAACGTGTGTTGTGCAATTTTTGATTGTTTTCATTTTCTTCGTGTTTTTCTATTAACATTAATATAAGAAGAGCGGTGCTGTTGACAGTTGTTAAAATGTCATGATAGTAAATAAATTAACGAGTATTTAAGATTAACACCAGAAATTTGTTTTTTATTTTATTTAATTTCTCTTTTATTAGAATTATTTTAAGTTCTTGACGCCATTTTTTTTTTGATAGTATTTAAGAATCTTCAAATCTGTATTTTATTCAAGTTTCAAACGAATATTAATCAATATTACAAAAAAATCGAAATGTATCGTGATCAAAAACTAAGTTAAATAAAACAAAATTATAAGAAAATATCTTGTAAATAATGAGTGTATTTATCTCGTCTAGGTAATGATTGAAAAAATACAATACTTTTTTTCTTTTAAATATCAAGGAGATGAAGAGTAAAGCTTGATTTTCATGCATCCGTTGTCCGGCGATACGTTGATACGATATTAATTTTATTGGTAGAATTTAAAGACTTTGATTGGTTAGAAAATAACGCAGTTTTTAAATTTATTGCATTTTCATGTCTCCGCTTATCGGATATACGTTGGTGTTATTTTATATTTTCGTAAGATGTAAACAACTGATGAAATGAACGAAGGAAAAAATATCATTTTCATTACGTACCTTTTTTTATATTTTAGTTCTTAGATATATTATTTTGCTAACATATGAAACAAATTTAAGTTCAAATATCTTAAGGAATTTTTATTTTCAAGAAGGTGCTTTACAACTTTAGTGTCATTTACATGTCAACATTTCCTGCCTGGGCATTTTCTTTAAAAAAAACTGTGTATAATATCTGGTCACATCAATAATGATATATTTTTTTTGTTATTTTTGTATATATTTTGTAAGTTATTTAATAGTGCTAGGGTGTCGATTTGAAACTAAACTTTTTTCAAAAGAATTTGAATTATTTTATCAGTTTGCGACTTATAGTTGTGTAAATTTAATAGACGTAAAGATTGGGAGATTTCTCTTTTTTTTTCAAGTATTTTTATATATTATCTTATTGTTTCATTTTTCTATAATAACATATTTTTGCGACAATATACACAACAGCAACAGCATACTTATTTTATTGAAAATCAAATAAGTAATTTGTTTCTGTTTACCTAATCGTCTAAAGCTTTGTTTATGCTGGAGCTGTAAATAAAAGACATAAAAGTAGTGTTTTCGTAGGCAGGTATTTATGGCGAGTAAAGCGCCGCTTTTTGCTTATAAAAACATTCATTTTATTTCACTGTCGCGACGTTAGTATATTTGCTATTTTCGTCCATCGCAGCTCAAACATAAAACACAGCGTGGTAGATTTGCGGCTTTAGGCAAGTGCGCAGCAAGGTGGTAAGTGAGGTGGCAGCGGCGTGGTAAAAGAGAGGGGGAAGCGATGGAGCGGTCTTTTGTAAGTAGCGTGGTATCAGTCGGGTGGCTACAAGCACAGATTAGGTATACTATATGTATACAGATAAAAATCTTATCCCTAATTCGTGGTACGAAAATTGTTTTTTATGACGATGTGCAAACGAGTAAAATTTCCTGTGCGCAAAAATAAACTCGCGTAAAATAAGAATAAACAGCGTAATAGAGAGATATCGCTAAACCGAATAGCGTGCATGGACGTTAATAAGGCCAGGTGTTATTTCCTTTACGTGAGGTGGTATTAACTCTCTTCATTTATAGTTATCGGATCGGAAAGAATTCTGTTCGCGTCGCGTCCTCTATTTAAACTTAACCTAACTTTGAATTTAAAACTTTGAAATTGTTTTGTTTACTAGGTATTTTAAAACTAAAGGGCTAAAGTGCTTATTTCCAGTGCTTTACTGTTCAACGTCTGCCAGTGGGTTTAGGGCAACAAGCAACAAATTCTCTTAGAAGGGCTAAGTCGTCGTCTGCTGTAAACCTAAGCCTCTTTATAGGTTCTTTAATATTGGAAGAGGTGGAATCCATATTTTGGGCTATATTTATTTAATTAAAACTAATCCCAGCTACTTAAATATCACAAATTACCTAATAAAACTAAAGCAATAATTCAAAACAATTCAAACATAACCTAAAATAAAAGATCTCGCCGACCGGCACCGGTTGTCAAATACCCGCACATGTCCATTTAAGCAATTTTTAAACGTTAATTAGAAATAGCGCTTGGTGTAATTGATCCGCAAATTACGTCAGGCGGTAACGTTATTCGCGCGTGTTGCGTTAAAAATTGACTCGCGCATATCGTAACCATGATACGGTACGCGTAAATACTGTATGACGCTATTCGGTTTTCCGATATCTCTCTAATAACTGTGCCGATCAGGCGCTGTGTACAATTTTAGAGGCCATAAGTGGGCGTGCTTACTAACTAGTGCCCGATTCCGAAAATTGGAACCACGAAAAACAATAAAGAAAAAACAAAGTTTATAATCTGTATAATCTGTACTACAAGTCTCCGACAAGTTTAATTTTCGGCTGGCAAGCGGCTAATGACCACATGAAATTTGAATTGCAACGGCCTTTTCAATACGTAATTATATTATTTAAATAATTTTTTACTCTGATCTGACGTGTGAATTATACAGGGTTGTTCACCACATACGACACGGAGTATTGTAGCTAAACGATGAGATTTTTACAAATTGTAAGTTTGGGGTTCGTTGAAGGACTATTAGAGCTACAATTTAAAAATATTTTTACAAGATACAGAGTGTCCCGAATAAATAAAAAATATCAAAGTTGTATTTTTTAAAATGGAACACCCTGTATATTATTACATTTTTAGTTTCTACGATTAAAATAAAGGTAAATTTGATTAAGGTTTATTATACTTAAACCTTACCGTTTTTGAAATATTTTCAATTTTGTGAAATTGCAGTAAAAATTTTAAAGCTTCATTTCTCCAAGGGTATCAAAATTTTTAATACTAAATATTTACTGAAGTTTATTTATTGATCAGTTATTGTGTTGCAATAATAAAAATAATACTACCTTATACAGAGTGTCTAAAAATTTATTTTAAATAATTATTAGCTTCAAACGGCAATAACTTCTTTAATTTAAATGGAATGTTCTGTATATTTTAGGAGAATCAGATGCACAATTAAATTGTCTATCACATTGTATTATACCATTTTTTACCTATCCCTTCAAGTTTTCGTATAAAATGCATTTTCTAATAATTTAGACCTCATTTATCAATATATCCATGGAATATTGACATTTTAGATTGTTTTTAAAGCAACAAATGTACAAAATGTACAGACTAGTAATATTATCGTTTTTAGCAAAACGATAATATTACTAGCCCATTTGTACGCAAAAAGAAAACTATTTAAATCTTTATAAAAGAGTATACCATTAATTAAATATAACACCATTATTTGCGCCCATATACTAATTAATTACATACTTAATTGTGTTCGTTATTAAATTATTATAAATAAATGTGGATTTGAGTCAGAAATCAATATAATAATAAGTTATCAAATTAAAGTCTCTGTAGTTATAAATAAGCATTTATTAAAAAATGAAATATCATTTTTAAGGTGTTACTTTTTATCACACTGTCTAATGCCCATACAAAATTCAGTTTTTTAGTATTTGGAGCAATTATTATTAATCAAAGCAAACAGTCAGTTAATGTTGTTTGAATACTGGAATCATATTAACTGATCCTCTTTAACAAATATTTAAACAGTTTTTTTTTATTTTTTAATGAAATAAACGAATTATATCGACAATATTAATATTTGTACTCTTTAAAAATTTGTACATCTTTAAAAATAATCTAAAATGTCAATAGTCCATGGGTATATTGATAAATAAGTTCTAAATTACAAGAAAATGCATTTTCTACGGAAACTTAAAGAGATAGGTATAAAATGGTATAATATAATTTGATAGACAATTAAATTGTGCATCTGATTCTCGTAAAATATACAGGGTGTTCCATTTAAATTAAAGAGGTTATTGCCGTTTGAAGCTAATAATTATTTAAAATAAATTTTTAGACACTCTGTATAAGGTAGTGTTATTTTTATTATTGCAACACAATAACTGATCAGTAAATAAACTTCAGTAAATATTTAGTATTAAAAACTTTGATACCCTTGGAGAAATGAAGCCTTAAAATTTTTACTGCAATTTCACAAAATTGAAAATATTTCAAAAACGGTAAGGTTTAAGTATAATAAACCTTAATCAAATTTGCCTTTATTTTAATCGTAGAAACTAAAAATGTAATAATATGCAGGGTGTTCCATTTAAAAAAATACAACTTTGATATTTTTTACTTATTTGGGACACTCTGTATCTTGTAAAATTATTTTTAAATTGTACCTCTAATAGTCCTTCATCGAACCCCAAACTTACAATTTGTAAAAATCTCATCGTTTAGCTACAATACTCCGTGTCGTATGTGGTGAACAACCCTGTATTATTCTTAGTAACTTGCAAAATGTCGCTAAAGACACAAAGAAAAGTTTAAACTTTCGGCCATCAGGTTCAAATTCTTTTTATAAACGTTATTAAACGTTTTATTTTTCTGTCACATAGGATGAACCCTTTGAATAACAATGTTTTTTCTTCAACTTTTTCTTTTTCTCCTTGTTTTGATTGTTTAGTTCATCCTCTGAGTTTGATAACATTTTCGATAATAATAAAATTACTGATGAAATTAATTATATATACAGGGTGTCCCAGAAATAAGTGCAAGTATTTTAACTGGTAGTATATTTCGGCTCATGAGTTTTTTTTTGCGAAATTTTTTTTTGAGAATTGGATTTTTTTGAAAGAATTTTTGGAATTTTTTTTTAGTTTCAAGTTATAATAATAATAGCTCCCGTATATAGCGTTTAACGCCTTGGGAGTAGCAAGGTACAGCTTGCCATAGTAGAGCCGTTCGGTATACCAGGAAGGTAATGTGGCTAGCACTACGCTTCAACCGCCTATTATTACCTCAAGATTGTGAATCCCAAGTATTCATTTAAGGCTGAGTCGACTTAGGTACCCAAACTATTTTGATTTTAATAAAAATAGCCGGGTGTAGGATTCGAACCCACAACCTTGAGATTGGTAGACGAGAGCCTGTACCTCTACGCCACCGGGCACCTTTTAGTTTTAAGTTAAAAAACATAATTTCTTGATAATAAATATGGCAACATAGGTAGTAGATTAAATTTACACGAAAGAAAATCCAGAAAAAAATCCGGTGGTTCTCAAAATTTAAGCAAAAAAGCATTTTTTGTATATATTTTCAAAGTACAATAACTCGGTTATTTTGGACTTATTTGTAAAATGGAAAAGAGAAAAAATGTTTCTTTTGGCCAGATCTACCATCCCTTAAAATACTTGCACTTATTTCTGGGACACCCTGTATAAAATAATCACCATTCCTATGCCTCACGCCATTCATTTACCTCACCACCGCCACATCACTTCAGTACGCGCCTGGCCTTGTTATAGATGAAATGGCGTTTGCAGGTTTAGGACCAGTAAATAAACAACCAACAAAGGTTGTTTATTTACTGGTCCTAAACCTGCAAACGCCATTTCATATAAAACACAGCTTTAAGGAACTTTGAATTCAAAAATCAAATCAAAAAAAGTTAAATAGTTTCCGTCCAATCTACACCAGAAAATTACTTTCATTATTTTAGTGAACTTTTTTTCTAACGAAATCGTGAGTTCTATATATGGCAAAAGTATAAATTTAATCAAATTTTATATAAAATATATTCTAGTCTTTTATCTGGTGCAAGTTGTACAAAATATTACAATTAATATACATATATTTTATGCTGGATTTGCTTTATATATTATTCACGATTTTCATAAATTTGTATATGTTGTTTTTTCAAATATCTTTACTAACTAAACATAGCCAAAATGTGATGCCATAAAAATATTGATAAGTAATTTTACAATAAAAATATACAGTTGTCTTCCCTCTCAAGATTGATGTCCGTTACGGATGCTTCCTATAAAATAATTCATATTCTTTTCGCTCAAAAAAATAACGGTTATTTTATCAAACTATTAGTCAAGAGGCACAAAAAATGATGATGTACCTACCTTTCAAGATACAGTAAGTGTGATTTTAAAGTAACGCAGCTTAATTTAAGTCTCCATTGAAGAATACTCATACTGTAGTTGAGTATAAAAATCTACCTAAATTATTTATAGGATATAATTTCGTTTTCCCCTATCCAAATAAAACCATAGAATACATTCATTTGTATTGTTTTATTAATATCCTTTATCCTTAATTATCTAGTGTCCTCCAACAGTTAAGTAAGGGTGTATTCCGTTGCTTACCTTGGTTATGGTTTTATGTTTCGTTTCTATCGGTTTCCTGAAAGTTTTCTTATTACGGAACACGGTTCCTGAAAAATTCGGTTATAACCATAGATAAAAGAAAATAATCTTCTGTTATAACATGGTTATAACTGTCACCGAACTAACCAGCGCGAGAAGGCTGGTTTTTCTGGTTTTGTTTGCCAATCAATGTCTTTTATGTGAGAGAAATCAAGCAAATATTGGAAGTTCGAGTGAAATTCTCATTTAATTTCTAAAATTTGTTATAACATTTTGTATTTACATCCAAAAGCAATGGAGGTAGTCAGTAAAGGTAAATAAATTTCATTAACTAAATAGAATGACTTTTTAGGACCATTTAAACTTGTAATATGTAGCCATTGTTTCTTAAAGTCAGGAACGTTTAAAGAAAACATGAAAAACAAGACAAGTAATCGTGAATGTTTTGTAAGCTATAAAAATATAAATCTTGATTAGGTTTGTTTATTTATTATTGATCTGTTTTAATATTGGACCTGCCAATCTTCACTTGAGCCGTCTAACGAGTTTAACAGTTTATTAATAAAGTACTTTTCAATATTAGACTCCATTGAAAAGAAGAAGCAAACGTAAAAGCAGAGAATAGGTACATTAAAAATGCATAAAAGATAAATTTTATAATAAAGGTATTGAAATTTAGAAAACGTCAACATTTGACATTTCTAGTATTTTACCAAACCGTTCCGTATCAAACCCAACGACTGTATATATTCTAAAGGGCTGTTCGATCGCGTCAAATCGCCGCTGTCGTAGTCGCCGTGGAATGCTACGTCACGCGCTGACCAGCGCTCCACAGTGCGGTGGATGGTTATTCTAGCGGGACAAAATCTCAAGAGCAATGTTTGGGACTTAAAATCTAAGAACGTAGCAAATGGTCTAATATATAGCAACTATATGGTTAAATTTATTTATTAACTTAATTTATTAATAAATAAATACAATATAATAAAACTATGATATTATTCGTACATGACACACAAAAACCGTATTGTAAACTATTGCCAAATACATAAAATTAAAATATATTTTATTTTGAAAATAATAAATAAGATAGATATTTTAATTTTAATTTTAACACTCGGTAATTGTAAATTCATATATAGTAAGTATCTAAGACAATTTTTTAAATTCAGTGCCCTTTGATGGAGTTGTTTTGTTCTTATACTATCCGATTGAAATGAATCTTTTTGGGCATTCACCTGTTAAGCTTGAACTCCCTGTGACTGTGACTACCTGTGTTGGTAACTATTGGTAACTCAAAAGATCTACATCAATCAATATATCGATATTTGAAAAAAAAGTGAAAGTTTGATATCTGCAGAACAAAGGCACGAAGGATTTTAACAAATAATATACGTACAGTAGAAAAGTACATACCTTTGGCAATCTTCAACATAATTTGGCTTTGGAATAAAATGTATAAGCACTTGTAAATATTTTGTTTTCGTATGATCTCTGCCTTGCTGAGCAGAAAACGACCAAATTTGGTTGATAAAAATGTATCGAAATAAAAAGAATATTCATGCATTTTTGTATCAATTGGAATGTCTACTATTTATTCTTATCAGTACACATTTTTTTGCTTATTTCTAACCAAACGCTTTTGTCCCGCTAAATTTATCTTCCAACGCACTGTGCGCTCGTCCGTCAAATGCAAAAATAACTGTCACTGTCTAAAATCTTTAGCGCCAACTTCAACTCGGTCAGTAGATGACGTAAAAAAACTAACAGTGCAGGAAGATAGGAATCGAACTATCCTTATCTCTATAGTATCCTTGATCAAACCGATGTTTTTCAGGAACCGCTCTTTACCGTAGTTTACCGATCTGATTCGCCTGGTTTTGCAACGGAATACAGCCAAAGTTACGTTTGAAAATGACACTGACAAGTTATGTCGGTTTTTGACTGGTGATTGATTGTTACCTATTCAGTTTTAATTAAAAAATCGATTTAGTTTTTCTCAAATTATTTAAAATTGGCTTGTCCAAAAATGTTCAAACTTGGCATGTGTGTTTACCAAACGTAGAGCTTAAAAAAATGTATTTACGACTTCGCTATGAAATCAGTAGAGAAGTCAATATCTGGACAGTTCAAAATTTGTATGGGATTTCCTATGTTTCCAACGACGATGCACCACTCGGTATATTTTCTTGCTGGACACATTCTAGTAGGTATTATGGACTTACATTTCTGGCTATACCTCAGAATATATTTACATCAGATTTAAAAAAATCACCCGTTAAAATAATTATTTATACATCTATTTCTTAATTTATCACTTGTAACAAAATGACATGCTCAATTCAATTTCTAGCGAATTCAGGACTAATCCTAGACTGAAGTTGAACAAATCAATTGCGTAGAGTTATTCAAACTTTTCCCCTTCTGCTTCAGGCTCAGCGACTACAGTGTCCTGTCTGAACATTTCAACATCTGCTTGACTGTCCGCTTGAATTAGCTTACCTTTTGCATTTGGCTGAAAATAATATCAGACATTATAATAAAAATAGTGAAACAGAGAATCAGAAAAAAGTTTTTGTACCAAATTCATCCTTAGCTATACTAAACTAGTCAAAACGAATTAGGGATCATTTTGATAATTATTATCGTTTAAACAAAAAAAATATACTTATTTATTTAAACATATAAACTTAGCAATATGTTCCTTAGGAATTAAATTTGAATGTAGTGTATGTATGTACCTTAGTGTTCATGACGAAAAAGTTGTCAAACTGCTCAAAATTGTATTTTTATTACGTTATGAATGAAAACAATACGTATCGAAATCAATGCTAAACAATTTTTATCTTAATTGTCAACGGAAATATTTTTTTTTCTAATAATGTATGTGTCCTCCGCGGTTTCTACGTACTTCTGCACACCGATCTGTCTTTTTTTACACCATTTCAATGACACCCTGTATATGTGATCCCTAATTCGTTTTGATTAATTTAGATGTGAAATATCGAAACGACCCAAGCAGCATTTGGACGTCGGGACAACGTTGTGTCACGCGACCAAACGTCGGGGTGCAACGTCGGCACAACCTCGTGCCAACCCTAGTCTGCACTAGTTTGGAGAATAATTTTTGGGTCGAAACGACGTTGGATACCGACGTTGACTCGAAGCCTAATTTAGTACAAACTGCAACGTTGTTTAAAATCCTAATTCACAGAAATACAAAACTAATATGGCGTCTAAGTCGCGCTTTATCCTAAATTGGGATAATTATAGTAAAAATATTATTTTTATGATTTAGTTAAGAGACATAAGTCAGATGGCAGTGAAGGAAAACAAAACAAAAGTATTTAAGTGTGGAGGATGTTTGAAGAGCATAATTATTGAAACACTTTAACCGACTCTGTAACTCGTTACCCAAGGCAAAAAAGTTAAACGCAAACAACTTTATTGATAAATGTATTGTTTCTACTTTGAAAAATACTAATGGGCTTTAAAATTAAAGAAGTTTTAAAAATTTTCTTGAATTTTTTTTTAGTAAAATGAGAATAATTTATCCGCAGTCGAAAAAATTGTTTCCGCGTGTTTTTTAGGGTCAAATATTTCAAGTTAATGTATTCAAAAAGCAGGAATTGCTATTTTAGGAACGAAACATTTTCTTATTTAACAACATGGCGGCTTTCACTTTGTTGTTTTGGAGATTAAGATGGAGTAGTTCGAGTAGTCGCATACTGGACTAATAAAGTCGCAGTTCGGCCGTAACAGGTAGTATACTAGTCGCAAGATTGCCTAATTTAGTCATCCTAGAGTCTAGCTTGTGCCGCCCTCTATAATAAATAAACGAGGGAGTGGATAAACTATCGGTAATATATGTCGATGTATTTTTAAATTTAGTTTTATATGTACCTTTCTTATGTCCCATTTTAATTAAGTATTTTTTTATAAAAACATAAACAGCACTGAACTGTCTGACTGAACAGAACAATGAAGTGAAAATTTAAGATTTAAGGTTACGGTTCAATACACTTGCAAAAAGGTAGTGACTCGACGTCCTACCAACGTAAGAATAAGGAAATCTAAACAACGTTGGAATTAGTAAAACAGACGACGTTTGCATAACGTTGGAATAGGTCCTGAAACTGACGTCGGAAAACTCTATATTGCCCAACGTTGTAACTACGTTGTCCAAATCACCTAAAGATCACTTAAGCAAAAAAGGTTACAAGACAACGTTTATTCGACGTCGCAGAAGCTTCTACTTTGCTGTAGTACTAGTCCAACGTCGGCACAACGTTATAAAAACGTTTAAATTTATTTTAAAACCCAAAGTAGGGAGCTAACTATTTTTTGTAACTAATCCAACGTTGTGTTTAGTAAACATGTGGTCGCAAGTCGTGAAAATGCTACTTGGGGAAGAAAAGATACGTTTGAGGAAGTAGGAACTATATCGGTGTGATTTAGTTATATTTAATCCAAACTATTTTAAAAACAATTACCTTAGGATGCATCAGCACGAACGGTAATTCTGCTGCCAATTCCCCACCAAGAGCACCAAGATATAACTTGACTTTAACCGCATACGACACAATTATTCCAAATGCGTCTCTTTGATCTGGCGAAGCTAAACTGTATTAAAAGAAATCTTTACACTACGGACCGGTCATTGTAATTATATTACTTACAGGGTAGTTGAAGCTAAATCAGTGTCTTGCTTTTTAATTTGTCCATCGAGAGCTATTCCTCTACGATCCTTGTTGGAGGATAAAAGAGGAAGCAAGTAAAATACTTTTTGAAGAGTCGATCCAGGATTAATAGGGCATCCTTCCCTAAAATTATAGGCAACATAACTAAAAGGCAAAATGTGGAAATGTTGGAATCCTAAAATATTACCGCTCTAAAGACAGTGTTTTAGGTACAAAAAAAGGTATAAATGAAAAAGTGTGCACTGAGGTTACAATTAAGGAATACACAAAAAATTAAATTTGAATGATACAAGCCTGAATACAAAAAAGCCCCATAGTCTGTCCAGCGAGAAAATACCTGAAAGTGACAGTTGACAAATACCTGAAAGTGACACATTTGTAATAATATCTTGTATTTACATCCAAAAGCAATGGAGGTAGGCAGTAAAGGTAAATAAATTTCATTAACTAAATAGAATGACTTTTAAGGAACATTTAAACTTGTAATATGTAGCCATTGTTTCTTAAAGTCAGGAACATTTAAAGAAAACATGAAAAACAAGACAACAAGTAATCGTGAATGTTTTGTAAGCTATAAAAATGTAAATATCGATTAGTTTTGTTTATTTATTATTGATCTGTTTTCATATTGGACCTGCAAATCTTCACTTGAGCTGTCTAACGAGTTTAACAGTTTATTAATAAAGTACTTTTCAATATTAAACTCCATTGAAAAGAAGAAGTAAACGTAAAAGCAGAGAATAGGTATATTAAAAATGCATAAAAGATAAATTTTATGATAGACCTATTGAAATTTAGAAAACGTCAACATTTGACGTTTCCAGTATTTTACCAAACCGTTCCGTATCAAACCGATGTTTTTCAGGAACCGCTCTTTAACATAGTTTACCGGTCTGGTTCGCCTGGTTTTGCAACGGAATATAGACTCAAGGACTGTATATATTCTAAAGGACTGTTCGATCGCATCAAATCGCCGCTGTCGTAGTCGCCTTGGAATGCTACGTCACGCGCTGACCAGCGCTCCACAGTGCGGCGGATGGTTATTCTAGCGGGACAAAATCTCAAGAGCAATGTTTGGGACTTAAAATCTAAGAACGTAGTAAATGGTCTAATATATAGCAACTATATGGTTAAATTTATTTATTTATTAACAACTTAATTTATTAATAATTAAATACAAGATAATAAAACTATGATATTATTCGTACATGACACACAAAAACCGTATTGTAAACTATTGCCAAATACATAAAATTATGATATTAAAAAACTCTTTAGCAGTTTTTTTTTTAAATTAATTTGTAATCTTGTGACACCCTCTATAATTTATTTTAAAAAATTATATTTTATTTTGAAAATAATAAATAAGATAGATATTTTAGTTTTAATTTTAACACTCGGTAATTGTAAATTCATATATAGTAAGTATCTAAGACAATTTTTTAAACTCAGTGCCTTTTGATGGAGTTGTTTTGTTTTTATACTATCCGATTGAAATGAATCTTTTTGGGCATTCACCTGTTAAGCTTGAACTCCCTGTGACTGTGACTACCTGTGTTGGTAACTATTGGTAACTCAAAAAATCTACATCATTCAATATATTGATATTTGAAAAAAAAGTGAAAGTTTGATATCTGCAGAACAAAGGCACGAAGGATTTTAACAAATAATATACGTACAGTAGAAAAGTACATATCTTTGTCAATCTTCAACATAATTTGGCTTTCTAATAAAATGTATAAGCACTTGTAAATATTTTGTTTTCGTATGATTTCTGCCTTGTTGAGCAGAAAACGACCAAATTTGGTTGATAAAAATGTATCGAAATACAAAGAATATTCATGCATTTTTGTATCAATTGGAATGTCTACTATTTATTCTTATCAGTACACATTTTTTGGCTTATTTCTAACCAAACGCTTTTGTCCCGCTAAATTTATCTTCCAACGCACTGTGCGCTAGTCCGTCAAATGCAAAAATTACTGTCACTGTCTAAAATTTTTAGCGCCAACTTCAACTCGGTCACTAGATGACGTAAAAAAACTGACAGTGCAGGAAGATAGGAATCGAACTATCCTTATCTTTAGAGTATACTTGATATAGACTAATTTCTGTCAATTTTTCGACCTCGTCTCTTAATATCGTCCCTTCACTCGCTGGACAGACTTTACTGAATTAACAACTACATGTAAACATCATTAAATTAGTTTGAATGATTCACTCACTGAGTTTCTACGTGCGCTACTGTACTTCTGTACTGTCCGTTCTGAAACAAAACCACGTCAACTCCTTGCTGAACCATAGCTTTGATCTTTTTCACCACTTTGTTACTGTTGTTTCTGACCACGATATTTACAGCTATTTTTTCTCCATGATGATACAACTGAAAATAATCATTTAAATATTAATATGAAATAAAGTTTGAAGAAGTTCTAGTGAAGACCACAATGTACGTATCCATCCTAATTTCATTCATTTATTTTTAATAAATCCCAAAAGACGGGCCAAGTATAAAGATTCAATTTCACCTACCTGTTTATCTAGGTTAACTTCCAATTCTAGTTCGCCAGGACTCATCATAAAATCCTTTCTGACAATGGTACACGGTTGTTTTCCCTGTTTAGAAGGGGCGTATTGGATTTTTCTTATTGCCATGGACACAGTGCTGCGCTTGTGGGTTCTATCAGTATCATTTTCCCCAACAAACAGTTTTACGTAATAGTAGACACCGCAAGGTTGGCCTTCATCGTCCAAACCTAATTAATAAATAAACTAAATTGGTAATGTTTGATCGAAAAGTTTAATGATAATGCGGTCCTTGGATTTTTTTAGAGGGGGGCTGGAAAGCCGTCAAAGTAAAAACTAAATCTGTAATCACCCTGTATCTACTAAACTAAGCAATTTAGGACATACATGTATACAAACTTTTTTACTTATTTTTATCTGTAGAATATATTGCCGAAGTTTCCCAATACAATTGAGGCCACCCTGTAATAAATATCTACGATAAATGTTTTTCGTTTTAGCCAAACCATTACCATATTTCCCTCCAAAATGGCTGTCGAGGAATAGTTCACGTCATAAGCAGTTAGACATAAAATCTTGTTTAATTTTTTAATTTCTTGAAAATTTACTAATTTATTTATTTTTTCTTAAAATTTTATCAAGTGATTTACGCACCATTAAATCTTAGTACGATCCTAATCTCCTATGCCTCAACCTACCAAAAACTAAAGTTTTGTCATATAAAAGTATAACACCACTATTGACGTCGTGGACTCTGTGGATGAAATTCTTAGGATTTGTTGTAGACAACTCGTTAAAGTGCACATCGTTATCGAAGCTTTATCAAAGAAACTAAGCGCTGCAGGTTTTGCGCTAAGATCAGTTTCTAAGGAACTTAACTTATCAACCTCTAGAATAGTCTATTATGCCCTTTTTGAGTCGCATCTTCGTTATGCCCTTCTATTCTGGGGTACTTGCTGCGCGACAAAATTTGATCGTATTTTCAAACTTCAAAAGAGAGCAGTTCGATATTTATTGGGACTGAGCAGTAGAACTCACTGCCAGAATTTCTTTAAAAATTTCAAAATACTGACTCTTCCTTCTTTATTCGTTTTTGAATCCGTTTGCTTAATCCGCAAGCACATATCTGCTATTCCCGAAAGGCCATCTCACAACTATCCACTTAGGAATGCGGAGCGCGATCTGTATCTGCCATCCCCGAGCTCAGAACTAGTTAAAGGCCTTTGAATATCAAGTAGTTTTCATTCTTTCCCGCATTTTGCAAAGCTCTGAAATCATACTTACTGGAAAGTTTATATGCGGTATATACCTATATGCGGTAAACGACTTTTTTGTTGATGTTTAATCATGAACAATTTTGAATTTTAAAATTTTGATCATCTCACACACTGGTTAAAAGTCTAGTTTTAATATTTTAACATAAATGATTATATCCATTTACAATTTTCCTATTTTAAAATTTTATTGATACACCTTTTTTGTGTTCTGCAATATCCATGTATGTTCTATTTGTAATTGTAATGACAAATTTTTTTTAATTATATGATTTGTATTATTGTATGATATTTTTTATTATTTGTATATTTTTTGTTCTTTTGTCTGTTTTGTAAATGCTTTGTCGATGAAGCTATTTTGGCTTTTTGTACAACAAAGCGTTATTTATTATTTATTATTATTATATACCTGGTTGTAAGGTTACTGAAGCAGGCGCACTAGGTGGCAGAGTGAAACAAAACGGATAAGCGTTGCTTCCCAATTTTCTTACTAGCCTCTCCTGCAATTTCGTAGGATTGTCCTTTTCCGATGGAGGATATATTTGTTCGGAAGTAAGTGTTAGATCCTTTTGAAAGTTCAGTCCCATCACTTCATCCTCTTCACGGCCGTATCGAAAACTACATATTATTTGGCCGAATACTTTTCTATCTTTGTATTCTTCGTCGACAACCACTACGCCATCTATAAAATATATATGAACTCGTGATAAAAATAGATTAGTTTTACTTCACGGTTTCCTCGTTTGGATGTTATTTTTTAATTACACAGTGTTAAATCAATCAATTTCTGAAGCAAGGAAACCATGAAGACACTGCATTACTCTGCATCCCTTACTATACAAAGTCCGGCAATAGTGTATATATGTATTAAGGTCCAGACTTGAGCATTTTAACCCGAACGAGCAGAACAAATACTTATGAGCAATTCCGATTTACAGACACTGCTCGGAAAACATTTGGCGCGTTCGGTTCGGCTCGGGGACATTCGTGTTAAAATACTCAAGTCTGGACGCACCTTTAGAATGTATTTCAGGAAAATATTTTAACTTCTCCAGGGTGGCTGAAAAAAGTGTGAGTGGATTGCGATGTTTTTTTAAATGAAACACCCTGTATATTATATTTTTTGGCTTCCTTTCTGATCACTTTACATATGTAATCCTAAAATATTATTAAATACGTTTTGAATAAATAATACATTTTTTCAGCCTTTTTAAAAAAGTTATTAAAAATCCAAGAAAAATCCTGAAATCAAAATTATGCTAGGTATTTAGTGTAGTTGGTCTGTACTTACTTTCCTGTAAATATCGTAATATTAAACCATACAGGGTGTTTGAAATTCTATGCCAAACTTTATAATAATGTAAAATAATTATTCTTCTTTTTTTAATGGAACACCTTGTATATTATTTCTTTGTTAGATAGCGAATTAAAAAATGTGCATTTTTTTGTATTTAAAGTATTTTAAAACTTTTTCCGGTTACCTTAATATGCGCGTTTGCCAAATAGTCAAAATTTTAAAGGGATTTTGTGAAATATTACGCAAGACCCTATACAACCGTTTTTTTAATAACAACCTAAGGAATTTTAACCAGAACCTCTTTACCTTAGTTAGTAAATAGGCTTAAACCTTGTATTAAAAATTTACTTCTTACCTATTGGTTCAACGGCTGAAATGTAATCCACGAAATCACGTTTGCCCAAATAAATCGTGAGCTTGCCGTTGGGCGACTGTTTTTTGAAAACTTTAAAATTGAACACCATTTTGTCAACGTTCTTTTAATAAACTATAGATATTTTTCCTTTAAAGGCTTTCGAAACCAATTTGAAAGAACGGAAATAAGACTACTGTTTATATACGAACTTCAATGGCTTCCGTAATCTCATTATTTTGTATAGGATCTCAGCGATCGCCCACAAAAGGATTAGGACAAATTCGATTATGGCTATTGACATCATACCTCGCGAAAAACAATAAATGGTCAATTTCGTGAAACGATTTTAGCAATTTACATGTTTTTGTTACACAATTAACGCTAGTTTATTATTTTAATGCAACTGATAAATATAAAATTTAACTAACTTAACAAATTCTTTAATAAAATTTGTACCAATAGTCACCTATAAATATACAGGGTGGCCCATCGAAAACGTTCCGCAAGGCATAACGGCCAGGGTATTTCTTTTTTCAAAAAATCCAAAAACACGTCAATTTTGTTTGTGAGGGGGACAACTTTTGCTCCAAAAATGATTGCAAAATCTTCAACCCTCTAAGCGGGGGTGTCATCCCCCAACTTTTTTCAAATGGGAAGGGGGGTCAAGTGGCACCGCAAATGAGAAGAGCTTTATATTCTCTATACTTTCCCTCTTCGTTTTTGAAAATCGGTCCAGTCATTGAGAAAATATGAAGGATTGAAATTTGAAAAGTTTATTTATAATTTATCAGAGTAAATAATAAGCATAAATTCCTTCCACCAATTTGAGGTTTTTTCTTATTATTTCTAGATGTTTACGCATTTTATCAGTTGCCACAAGGTTGAACGATCAGGTGCGGTAGTTGCTAGATAGCTGTTCTGTGACTTGTGCATTGAAGTTCTTCTCAATATCGTTAAACTGACCCACAATAGAATTTCCAAAAATACCAGCCCATACGTTCAATTTCTGAGGGTTTTGTGTGTGCACCTCGTGAAAAACCCTGGGGTTGTCCTCAGCCCAGTACCGACAGTTGTGCCGATTAACTACACCGTTCAAAAAAAAAGTACACTCATCCGAAAAACAAACATTAAATAGGAAATTATTATAATTCGCCATTCGTTCACGCCGCACTGTGGTCAATTTTCAAAAATTAACAGGAAAATTTAAAAAATCTGATGAAGCTAAGCGGCGTGAAAAACTCCATAAGTAGGCTTTGAAATAGTTGCTAAGAACATTTCATTAGCAACTTTGAATAAGAAGACTAAGGAAGGAGCATATCAAAAATCTAAGGTACAACGCGATGGGCCTCAAATATGGCCGACTTAAATTCCGGTTTATCAGTGTCGTTCTAATTTTATTTAAAAAATGTAAAACTATGATGTAGGGTAGACTCAATAATTTGTTGTTTTATTTTACGTTGTGAATAAATGTTGGTAGTTATTAAAATCGTTATAAAAATATATAATTCTAATAAAAATAGATAAGTTATAATAAGTATTTATTAACACAAACATCCGATACGCTACTGAAGCAGGTAAGTCAAATTAACGTATCTAAATTCTTTGACATCTAATCTTTGACAAGTAATAAATAAAAGCTTTCAAAAAATTAGTAAAAATCTCTTTAAAGCATCTGCTGATTATTGGACCTTAAGAACCAAACGTTTAATTTGTTTAGCAAATTCTAATGGTTTTGACATCAGGATTGCCTGGATTCCAGGTCATTCCAATATCTTGGGAAATACAGAGGCAGATTTGTTGGCTAATATTGGAAAAGATTTAAATATTCCGAAATCTATGGAGATGGATTCAATAGATATTTTTAATTCAATTAAAACTGATATTTTGTGTAATTATAAGGAAAATTGGAAATCTCGTATGGAAGGAATTATATCAATGTGTATTTTAATATACAAACAATCTTCCCAGATAAACAATGGTTTAAAAATTTCCAGTATATAGATAGAAGACATATTACAACGTTAATTAGCATGCGTACAGGCCATTGCTTAAAAAAAAAACCATTTATATAAAATTAAAGTGAAGGAAGATCCATTCTGTGAGTGTGGCTCTGTTGAAGACCTAAATCAGATCTTTTTAGAATGTCCTATAAATTTTTTGTTTAATTTGGATTTATATCAAAAATTTATTGAAATGAATTTTCCTACTCCACTATCAATATTTACAGTTTTGTCTAAGCCAAGTGAAAAATTAATAGAAACTATTATGATATTTTTTAACATTAATAGAATTAAATTATAATGCTCAACTTTCTATTTTTTATTTTCTTTTTGTTTCAGTTTCCGAATGCAGTCTGTTTGTGTGACCTCTATCCTATGTGCCTTTGTGTGTGATATAATCTTCCTTTCAGCGCGTCATTTATATATTTAATAAATAATAATAATAACATTTTACAGTCACAGGTCACAGGTTACCTTCATAGAAGTTAGTTATATTAAAATTTACCCATTATACATTTTACTCAGATAAGAATCAGTGGCCTTGATATGGTTTAGAGCCAGTCAACATCTTGGTCACTCCCAAATTGAGCTGGCGGTTGCCTTGTAGCAGAGCCATCATTAAAAAAGAAGAAGAAGAAGAAGAAATAAAAGCTAAAATGCAAGAAAAATATATAATTAGTTAATTTAAGTGAATTTCATAAATGATCGGTTTACTACACGTATGTATATTATATAGTCACTTACTAGCGAAACGTTGTTCCATTATTTCACTCGATTTTTGCCGAGATCTACCGCACGCTACACAACCAACTATTTTAGAGTCTTTTTCGATAAATCGCGATAGTGTCACTGTTAATTTAAATTCTGCCACAATTTCCATCTAGATTTACTACCTTTATACAACTATCAGTAGTAGAATAAATAATAAATAACATAAAATAAGCTCCGTAAAGACTGACAAATCCACAAAATTTCAAATCAAATTCAAATGTCTCAAATGAATCGTCAAACAGAACTGTCAAGGATCCCCACCCTAGAGTGCTTTTTCCGCCCACCATGCATGAATACATGGATAGCATTATGCTCCTTCCTTAGTCTTCTTATTCAAAGATTAGCAATTATGTCAAAGGTCGTTGCGAATTTACTGTTATTTTGATTGAAAATGTAGTATAGTTGACAAATTAAACTAAATAATCTTGTTATTTGCACATGAATAAAGTTTTTAATTTGCGTATTCCGTGCAAAAAGTTATATGTCATTAATACTATCTAAAATAGAAAGGGCAATTGTTGTTGGTAAGTTTTTTGACATTAATGTTCTTCTGTTGAATATTAAATATGAGTAAATAATTTTGATATGGTTAGATTTTTTTTAAATTATTAGAATATACATTTTTTTAATGATCTAGCAGAAAAAAGTCTTATGAGGTTTCAGTTTTAAATAAAGTTAAGTTGATAGTTAAACCATTAGACAACTTGACCAAACCTACAAATTTACCGTCCTAGTCCGTCTGTTAAGTCCAGGCCATTTTTTAGGACGTATTGTCCATATTAAACGCTTGGAGGTTGTTGACTTTTTAAAAGCAACTGTTAGCAAAATCTGTATGATCCTTAGTATTATTCTTATAAAATGATAATTTTTAAATATCTAACATATGCAAATGATCGCGACCAAAATCTATTTAAAATAAAAGATAACGAAACTTTTCCAAGTTTTTAATTATTATACACCCTGTATACGACCTGTTCTTATTAATTATATTATTAATGTAATTTTATGATACCTAACATATAAAATCGGATATAGTTATTAATCAAAGTTTAGTAATTTTCACTAATATTTTTTTCCGGCTAATTTGACAAAATTGACCACAGTGCGCCGGTCTCATTGGCTAATTTTCTTGTACTCAGCGTACTATCCATGACAACTTGGCCCAATACGAATACCTCCATAGCTTCTTTTACTACAGGATTTTCCTTCTGCCTCTTTTTATTCATAACAGAATCAGTTTCGCGAAATTTTGCTACTAACTCGCGAACAATTTTGCCATAAAGGTGTTTGCCAGGATGGCGTTCATTGAATATCTGCGCAACCCTATTGCCACATTCCTTATTTTTAAAATAAAGTTCGATTATTTCCACTTTTTCTGCAAGTGAGTACACCATAATTGTTAAAAAGTTTAACGATATTGAGAAGAACTTCAACGCATAAGTCACAGAACAGCTATCTATAGTCTGTCCAACGAGAAGATCCTTGACAGTGATAGATGTGTCTGTCATTTTAATTTCAAAGTAGTTTATTTTATTTTACAAAGAAATAAGTTGGTACAACTGGAACTCATAGCAGGAAATTAATATATGTATTTAAAATTTGACTGACAAGTAACTTCAAAATATTGTGAGAAAAACTATATCAAACTAAAAAAATGTAATCGAGTTAATTTATTTAATAAAAAACGGTATGTGTTAATACAAAACAAACAAAAACAAGACACCAAATACCAAAAAATATAAAAAAGAACTATTTCTTACTTTCAAGCTTTATGAAACTTCCCGCATTTATGATTATATTTATCAATATAACTTATGTACAAATACAAATTTGTAATATTCCGCAGGAATAAATAAAACAACATAAATAAAACAAACTATTTTATTAATAATAACACTTACCAAATTTTATACCTCACAGATTGATTAATTAACTTTAATCTTAAGTTTTTTAAATCAGTACCTTTTGACATTATTTTTTCTACAGTACTAAAATCCATTATTTACCTATCGTGTGATGTCGATATTTTACAGCTACTCCAGTTTTTAGTATGTGTTTAGAGTATGGTCCTTCTACCATATTCGAGATGCACTTATCTACGACGAGATGGTATACGAACTTTATTGATAGTAACTTTATTGGTGTATCTGTCAGGGGCGTAGATAGGTGTATGCTATGGGGGTGGTACTATGATTAAGTCGCAAAAAAAATCACCGTCGGAATTTTTTTGTCGAATTAATACGACGGCGATTTTTTTGTCTTCAAAAAGATATAAAAACATAACACAAAAATTAAAATATAGATTTGTAAATAACAAAAACAAAAATGAAACAACGACGTTTATTAGTTAATTTTCTATAAACTATAAATAAAAAACTCTAAACTATCAAAAAAAAACTATAAAAACTGTAAATAAAACTACAAAACAAAATCAAGTTTTCTAGTACGCTGTTTGGAAAACCTATCAATAACAGCATCAACATTTATTTCAATATCTTTATGGATATTGATTAGAGTTAACCCCACTAATCTGTCCTGGCCAATAAGAACACTATGTATGCTTTTAATTAGGTCGAACATATTATAAACGATAAATCACCATAATTAAAAGCATACAAAGTGTTCTTATATGTCGGATATTAATTAAGAAAAATCCTTTCATAGTCAA